ACCTAAAAGTGGGAGAGGAGGAAATGTAGAGTTTTGAGGAAATTAGAGCGAATGAAAACGCATTCAACGTTCACGCTGTCTGCTATATGCTTTGGGGATCCTATTACGTTAGACTTTAGTTTATAAAGCTCTGTAAATAATATGGAAGATATGCAAACATAGTAAGTTTGCTTAGCGATATCACTTTTCTGTAAATACGCACACATAATATTCGCATGCCCATACGTTTATGTGATAACGTTGACACCAAACAGGTAATGGAAGATTTCAACACGAGTTTGTTGATACAGGAAACAATGTGTAACTGTACAAAGATGCCTGACGTGCTATACGATTCTATAAGGCGCCCTTTATGTCTTTATTAGTACAAAAATAATAAAACAAAAATAATATATATATGAAGAAACTAATATAAATAGGACAAAAGTGACATAAATTGAAAACAGCACCAAGCGTTGCTTTGAAATGATCACTCTTCAACTATAGCTCAGAAACTGTTAGTTCATCGGGGCTAAAACTCGAAATTTTAGTTACACCAAAATGAACCAATATTGAGGGGGTAAAGTTTTGAATTCTTAGGGTTGATTTGACATGGAATGACCCATACATCTAGTGAGCAGACTAGAAATAAAAGAAAGGTACTGGAAATCGCAAGGGTGAGATTGACCAATGATAAAAAGAGCTGAAAACAGCTGAAAAAAGGCATTAAAAAGCTGAACTGTGAAACTCTCCCAGTATACTTTTGTACACAGCCAGTGAGGGAAAAAAAGCTGAAATCCAACACTAAAAAGCTGGAATCAGCTAAAAGCTGAGAAATCGCACCCCTGAAATCGGCAATATCGATGAAAGTGTCTTAAATTTCACATGGTCTCCTCTTGATGGTTTATCAGTCTTCTAATAACAAATGTTGTGCCACCCTTTCTCCTCTATACAGCGCAACGTCCTTTCATGTGTCCTCCAGCTTTCATTAATGTGTGAATTGGTGTATTTATTCGTGTCACATTATTTAAGGTGCTTTAGAAGAAAATCTTCACCCTAATGTTAACCCACTGCAGCCGCTTGAACGGAATGACGTGAAAGAGTCTTTTTGAGTGAAGTTTTGTTTTTATTGGAGAAGATTCCGTGGAAACGGTTGTTTCTCCGCAAATAAAGTCCCTTCCTATTTGCTGATACACAAGGTGATACTTCGGATTTGCAAATTAATAAAACATCCCATAAAAGTATAGAAGATTCCAAATTACATCTGCGAGATTTGCATCGTCTATTTTCTTGGAAACCTACACCCAGATGGCACGAGGAATGTCAATTCACTCTAATAATGGGAGTCCACTGCAGTGTAAAACCCACTGAAACTGGCAATTGTAACTGACTGGGGGAAACCCAACCGAGTGCGTGTTCTTGGAACTCCAGGTTAAATAGTTTTTGCTTGCATAACGGAGTGGTGATGATAGGGGGAAAGGGTGTCCTCTTAAAAAAGAAAAGATCATACTTTTTTATTTCTTATAACCGGCTTCGCCATGATTTTTACCGGGGAGGGGAGAGCACTCAGTAGCAAACTGACATAGCATTGCAGATGGAAGCTCAGTTCTGAGGTATTTTTCAACAAATTGACGATTGTTTTCCCTATTCTCCCTTTCTTTCCTTATTTTCTTATCTTGTTCATCCCTCCATTCCCCATAACGGATGTCAACCCTAAACGATCCGATTTTATATGAGTTCAAACCCATAACTTTGCCCTGCAAATTTATAGGCCTACATGTACAATTGTTGAAGTGTACCTTTAGCCGAAGAGTTGGTATAAAGTAAAGTACTCTGCAAGACAAGACACTGTATTAGTTTTGTATGATTAATTAGCTAATGCTTGTTCTGAGAAGGTTAAAAGGAAAGTAACTCTCCACAAAGTGTATAAGTGAAAGAAATAATGTAGAAAGCGATAGAAGTCGTTATAGTATAGCAAACGCAATACACAGAATATACAAGTACAATAATACATGTACAATACTCAACCGAAAAGTCGACCAAAAAGGCGGGGAAAAGTCTGAACTTGCAAGAGTGCTACATCTTATCTTTGCAAAATAAAGAGAAACCCCAACGGTGGTGAAAAAATGGGGAATATAGTTTAATATACTCATGGTATCTAAGTAATAAGTTATATACATGTATGTAAAGTAGCACTTTGACTTCTGAATAAATAGTAATAGTGCGATTAAAATATGGACCAATTCTGCGGGTGTTTCAAAAACTGTCTACGTTTGTACCGTTGGTGGCGCCGAGCAGAAATGCTTTTTAACTGCTTACCACCGTGGAAACGAAAAACGTCATGACCTCGCAGGACAGGTTTAGTGGGTGTGTTTCCGTACAATGTCCTGCACGCCTATAGCCTGACACTTTTTTTCGGAATAATAAGTACATAAAAATATTAAAGATATTTATCCTTCACTTTTTTGTAGAAAGCGATTTAAATCATGATTTTAATCAATGATTCATTTGATATAAATTGATATAACGTGATATAAAAATCATTTGAGTTCTTAACTTGAGCTTGTCAAAGTACTGCAACTAAAAGTACTGTGACTCGCAGACAAGAGTTGTACGTAAGGGAAGCAGGCCCGTTGCCTGACAAGAGAGGGGGGGGCTCGTCAAACCAAAAAGTGGAACTTTTGGCACTGTGAACACATATTTTTATACAAAGGCCTATCACAATGTTCTTTCGAAAACAACATTGAAAAGTTGCATGTCTGTCGCGAACCAAAGGTTGCATGTAAGACTTGTAGTTTTCAATATTAAATAAACTTAACAAAAATACATTGATTTCAAACTCTTTGAAACACCTGAAATGTGGATATTTGCCGGAACTTCCTGACGGTACAAGACTGGAGATTGACTCATTAATATGCAGAATTGTGGCCACCATGAGTTGAGAATCAACGTATAAGCCGTGGCTTGTATGCCAAATATTACGGTGTATTTAAAATATTCAGTACACACACCAAAAAGACTACCACCAAGCGGAACTCAGAAGCAGGCGGGGGGGGGGAGTCGTTCGAGCCCCTCAGCATACGGGCCTAGAAAGATTGATATCAACCATGAAGGAAGCCTCGGGTCCATTGCCTGGTTCATCATTTTGCGTGAGTTGTGCTGCATGTAAAGTGAGGCACGTACATGAACTTATGAGGCACAGTTACAAACATGCCCATCCGGCCGGCCGCAACACGTCGAACCGTTTTTCTCATTAGTTTCGAGGAATAGTGAGTGCTGTTAAATTCCCCTGTTGGCATTTAATTCGGACTTACCTATAAACATCCTCAGAGCCAATAGGAATTAGAAAAAATGCAATAAAAGTAGGATACTTGACAAATCAGGGAAATAAGGCCTTCGAAACGACCCCCTAAATTAGTTGATTCTGGAATTCTAGCCTAACACCCAGCATGACTGGTGCCTAAAGCTAGATACATCTGGGTGAATGGGAACTTGTCTATATCCAAGAATCTAATTGCTAAACAATTATGACTCCCTTTAACCATCACACAATTCCAGACACAAAAAATGCACGCAAAGATTGCGCTCAATGGTATTTGCGTAGATTTAAAATATATGCGGAACCTAACAAACACTGTGCAAAGAGCACAAGCAGAAGCAAGTTGCGCAAATTTAAAATTTGCACGTTTAAAAGATTGCGATGAACAGGCCTATTAGCATAGGTCTACATGTACGAGTATACATCCCTACATGTAAATTGTAATATGCCCTGAAAGCAATAAAGTTTCCACTCTGCTGAAGGCCTCCTTGTTATGATCTCCTTAGTGGAGAATTTCAACCTAAATATAGTACTAAGTTTTCCCTAGTCCCTACAGTGGTAGGCTAAGGTCAATATCAGCAATCAGACAAGGATAACAGTCCTAATTAGGGTCTAATTTGACAGGGAAGATCATTTACTTTGAAAATAAATGTAACACTCGGAATTTTTCAGGCCATTCTCGTTGGGTTTGTGCACAGGGTGTCAAGTGATGTCCGTGTATCGAAACTCTCCCAATCCAACACAATCACAAGTTAAACAAAAGGCAATAGGCCTAGAGGTTGATGGCGGATCCAATATTGGCATATTACATACCGGTATCTTTCATGATCGAAAGATAGTACAGATTTGATGGTGATACTGGTGCAATGAATGACAGCAGCAATGACGGTGAAACTGACGAAACAACAATAATATGGCGTATCCATGGCGCACAAAACATCATTCAGCAAAAGCATTTAACATGTTTAATCTGAGAACAGAATGAGCACATGCTTATGTACTTTTAAATTTCGCAAAGCAATAAAAGAATGTTAAATCTGCATTGTAGATCCGTCAAGGCTTTTTTAGTTTTTCATCTTGGCAAGGCCAGCGTAGCAGCACTGTTGGACTGAAGCAGTAGAATATCTAACATGCAAACCGGAAAGAAGACATACTGAAGGCTTCACCAAAATACAACGTACATTGTGATTCTTTCAAAATACACTGTAGTTTAATTTCAAAGGAATACATACATTCAATAATTCGACTAATAACACAAGACTTCGGGATAAAGTATGAATCAAACAGAAAATTGGTGGAAAGGTTTTGTTCTGACAACTTTAAAGCACTAATAGAAAATTGTACATCTCATAACCCTGACTAATATGACACATGTACAGAAAACCTCAGGAGAAACCATGCAGAAACTCATTTTAAAGGTAGTGGTTTGAACAGAACTTCTGAATACATGTACATGTAATTTTCACAGGATTCAATACTCCAGCTGTCAGCCTTAAAGTGCAGCAGTAATGAATTTTTCTTAAACACAATTTTTCTTCTACTTTGCATTCCTATTCAATGAATGAAAACTCTTACTTCCCTATTTGGTTAAATGGTTTGGAAAGTGCATGCTTTTAAACAAAATCATCCATGCTTTCCTGGGCAACTGAGGGCACTGTTGCTGTGAAGTCATCTAAGCCAGACATGTTTCAGTGCAAAAGTGTTTCTGTTCAAATTGTGAACCCAGAAGAGAAGGATTGATGATTTCTTATTGCTATGCACACACAAAAATGAATCAGCAGAGGAGAGATTAAGCCCAGGAAAATCTACCAAAATCATGGTAGGACTTTTTTAAGTACAAACCAATGTCACATTCCACCTTATCCTGAGATGACATCATAGTTTTGCTCATGAATACGGAAATACTCATGAGCATAAAAACCGAAAAAGGTGATAAAATACCCTTTGAAACAGTGAAACAGCCGTTGAAAAGAAGGTTAAATGAGCCACAAAGGTGCGTTTGTGACGTTTGTATTCTAAAAAAATTGATTGTAGCTACCATTTGGTACGTCATTTAGCTTTGCTAGAAAATGTGTTGAGAACCTGAATGTTCACTGATGACATTGCACCAGAGACTCGACTTGATGAAACTGCCCGTGACGCCGTCAGTTCTACGTAGCGGATAGTCACTTTTGTTTGGCCAGGATTCTTCGTCTGTGTCTGGCAACACTGGAAAATGGCAAAGACTTCCTGTGGTATGACGAACGCATGGGGTCATTTTCAACAGTCAACACAGGTCTGTAATTACAAAAGTGAGATTTCAGACTCAAAATAACGCACTGATTAAAATGCAAATTTTTGTAAATTTATACCTAGGAGATAGTTTAGCCATTCGTATTGGTTGAGATGAGAGCCTGTCACATGGCCGGTCTTAACGGATTTAGAACCGGCTAAGTAAGGCACATATCATAGGATAGCTAGAGAACTGTTCGAAAAAAATAGAAGATGAATGTTTATGGCTAGTTGGCCACACATGACTGGAGCATACCATAAATTGACAAGGGCTTGTTGGAAAACTTTGGAAAATTGTTGGTCAGAATTTTTCGAAATTCTAATTTTTTTGACTTGTTTTGACCTTGTAACATAAAGGGTACATTCTGTATGAGAATAAATCTTTGTTTGGCCAGTCTTAATCCTTCACTTAAGACCAACTCGGGAGAATGGACGCTGATAATGCCCAAACTGCACAACCACGTATTCAGTATATTAAAGTATATTAAATTGTATACAAATTTTACCTTTGCCAAATGCTAGTCGCAAATTTCACGGTCTCTATGATGTTAAACTACAATGAAGTCACCAACTCGGATTTTCTTCAACTTATGGCGATAATCTGTTTATTGATCACAGCACACACAAAAGAAGTACAAGTTGATTGGGAAAATTTACATTTATTTCTTAATATGCGCCAGTGTCCAAATATTTTATGATTTACATAATGTAATACACAAACACGATGCACCCGTAAGAACAGGAGTGCCTGTACAGCTGACAGTTTGCTGGGTGCGCAGTCCTCAGTCTTCACTATCTGCAACACATCTGAAGAAGAAAAAAAGAAAACTGCAACTGCAGGCCAAAGGTATGATAGGATATAAGGCTCGTTTTAGTTATTTAGCAATAATTTTAATTGTGAAATTCTGCTGTTAAATTTGCAACCTGCTTTTAATTTAAAGCATTCCACCATGTAAGGTGTATTTACCAGTCACAGTTTGGTGTTTTCTTCTTAGTTGCAGACACTTCTGTTGGAAGTTTCTGCCTGTGTGTTCTGCATTGAAGCATGTCTGCTCTTGGCCAATGAGGCATGAAGGGCAAAAGCATGACAGTCGCCTTGTCAACAGTTTATAGGGACCTGCAACTTGAAGCTGGTGAAAACCTCGCCAGCCCTTCACTGTGGCTATCTCAGTCAGGGGTCGATCTCGCTGGATTTCAGTGGGAGCTACATATACAAATCGCCTCTTTGAACAAGCTGTATCAGTTGCTAGATTATCAGAGCACCACTGCCATAATTCTTGGGCAGAATTGATGACGACTTTCCTCCCGAGAATTGCTTGATCGACAGCTTTGTTCACCACAGCAATCTCCCGGTCTCCTTCACCTTCTATATACTCTGCACCAAAGTAGTTAAGTTCTCGGGACTTTGAAGACAGACTGAGGTCGGCAAACGTTCCTCTACCTTTGTACTGGCTTTGACAACCTTCAAACCAGATCACCTCGCGCGTTGTCTTTATCTGCTTAGAGAGATGGTGAGAGGCAAGCTTCAGAAAGAGTTGAATGGTGTGGTAGTCGTGAACTATGTCGTCAGTGAGGAATATTAGCGAATCTCTCACAAGAGTATTGCGGTTGTTATAGTACATGATGACTGGGTGAATTGTGACTTGAGTTTGGCAGTAGTGGGGAGATTTGATCTCATCTTGATAGAAAATTCTGCGGTTTTTACTAGAGTCCATTATCATGAGACTCCAGTTTTTTGGTAAGTTGTCTTTCACATATGCGAACTGCATGTGTTGCCATCTTGCTGTAAACAGGTGCTTCACAAATGAAATGCCGTGCACAGGTTGTTCAACATCTCTGACCAGTTCTTAAATTAGAACTTTCATAGGACCGTGCTTTGTCTTCAAAACGGGGTGAATCTTTCCAGTTAATGTCTCACTTATTTTTTCTTCCTTTTCCCAATGGAGCCACGTGTGCAGTGCACATGATGCGTCAACGACATCTGTGTACATGTTACCTATGTGATCACCGTAACTGCCGCATTGGGTGCAGGTGCCCATACTACACTTGCTGTCCTGGAACTGCTGGGTATCTGATGTTGGACAAAGCAGACTGTTAACAAATGAAAATTCATCAGGCATCGTCTTCACAGTGGTAAGTTTTATTGCGTCGATTGCACAGTTGATCGCAAGGATTTTGTACTTGATATTTACGCAATACACACAACCGCAAACATCGTGATGGACTTTCGATAGGAGATGCAAATTTTTCGGTCTCAGGAACGTGAACTTCCAATAGCTCACTTTGCCGCTGGGATTCTCTGATTCAAACATCTTATGTGCTTCTCCAAGTGGCATCTGCATATGTCAACCTGGACCATACTTAACAATGAATCTCTTCAAAGGTGAAGGATATGAGATGTCATTTCGAAGGTGGAATTCCTTGACTCGTTGCCGCAATTTCAGTCTCATTCTCCCACGGCCTGCTGCATGGCGGTCCCTAAGATTTTGTGCTCTTCGGGCAGTCCCCTGACTTAATAGGAACTGCTTACTGATTTGCACTTTCTTTGCATTCTTGATAGATGTACACGCAAAACGTTTCAGGGTTTCTCTTCCACTCCTTTGGCACTCAATTCTCTCAGTAATTTCTCGAACCTTCAGACGGAATGCCACTCTTCCTGTCACTCCCTATGTCTTCGTTGTTAAGTTTTTTGAGGAGATGCATTTTTGATTGAAGGGGAAACAACAGAGGCCAACTTGTTAGGGCTTTTGGGTTGCAGTACCCTTTTTACTTTTGATGTACAGTTCCTTGTTTTGTATCCCGGTGACCTTATTGTTTCTTTGGTTTGTTTTACATTGGCCCTTTGCTGTCTTTTTCGTTCGCGGTCCTTTCCTTGAATCTGTCTTAATTTCTGTGGGCAGCTTTCCCGTAGTCTCTTTCTTTCTGCTTGTTTTCTTTCCCGCCAGTAGGCCCTCTTAGCTTCCCGTGACGACCATGTTGCGATGCTTGACTGCGCCGAACTTGCGCTTCTGGTACTTTGGGTGAGTTTTGGGGGTTTCAAAACCAACTTAACCGTCAAGCCACACTTGTCATCTTTGCTTGCCTCCTTTTTTCTTTCCATATATCTTTGTTGTCGGAGCCTATTTTGTTCAAGTTGTCGTTCCTTCAAGGTAAGAGACTTTATGGAGGGCTTTCTCTCTGAAAGCTCTTTTCTAAGTTGGTCTCTTCTGCCTTTAGCAGCTACAGCTTGCTTTTGCGGATAGTCTGCATATTTTTCGGGGTCTTTCCTTTTTAAGCGATTTCTGTAATACGTTGCTTTACTAGCCATTAATAAAGCCTGATGGCGACTTCTGATAATGCACTTCGGGAAACCTTGGGTAAGAAAAACAATGTGTAAAAACTTAGAATTTGCACCATTTTTTATTTACTTCTTAAAATAATTCTCCCGAAGAAAGGCGTTTGTAAAATATTAACAACAAAAATTGTGCCAAAATTTAATTCTTACTCCTGAAAATCTGAATACATGATAACCCCTGTAAAAACTTACATGTAAATGAAAACTAGAATCAGTTTAGCAGTTTTTTGATAAATTAAAAAATGAACGTAAAGTAGCATTCTGCAAGATTTGACATACACCTGTTATAAACAGCAATGTTAATTTTGCTGACAAAGACTACATTGAAGCAGCCGAACTGAATCCAGAACGCATCAACTCCATTACTGCAGATTGTTAAATCTTTACGTTATACACATTTGATCTTACATAAGTAAAAATGAATATGCATGGACATGAAGAAGGAGGAACGATAGAGTCAGAAGTGAAAGGTCATAAACAAAATTCCTTTCTTACCAATTGCCAGATGACTTTTCCACATTTTTTTACAAGAGAAACACGAAGATAATTTTGACATGATTTTTTCTTTGGGTGGTTTCGGTTAAACACACATTCTTCCAAAAACTACAGAACATGAGTGGGTGGTCCCATGTATATGTAAAATCCCCCAGGTGGGACTTTGCAAGGGTTCAAGAAGCTCGCTGTATGACCTTTTACTTATAGGCTCCATTCCTTTAGGTGCCAGGTGGATATAGGGATGGTTAGTATGGGAACTGCGAGCATGAGTGACAAAATAAAGGATATGTGCAGTATAGTTTGAGGGGTTCCAGATGTTCGCTACACGACCTTTTACTTTTAGGTTCTATTCGATCATTTGATATGCCAGGTGATGATGGAGATGATTAGCATGGGAACTGCAAGGGTGAGTGTCAAAATGAAGGATATGTGCAGTATAGTTTGAGGGGTGCTTGTGCAGTGATAGTGCTGATGGATCTGAGAGATGCAGAGTTCTACATGTTCATGTACCACGATGCACTTAACATTAACAAAATAATCTTTTTGAACACTGACAATGTCTAATGGAACAATTACTGTTTTATACAAATACTTAAGATAACCCTCAACAAACCTTAATCAAGTCCCATTACATTAAATACTTATTATCTACATTATTTGTATGCCTCCACCCCACAAACACCTCAGAAATATAGGCTTTTACATACATGTACACGTACATACAGGCCTACATGTACGTGTATACATTGTATCTTGAACACAAGACATGCAAGAAGTTGACATGATTGAGACCGTGTAAAAACATCATGGTTGGTATCCTCCATGGCATGACTGAATAAGCCAAAGGACCCTCCCCAAAATAGATGCATTGAACGTGTACATGTACATTGCAAACTGGAAAAGATAAAACTGGAGAGAAGAGGGAATCCTCTAGGCTCCATATACTTGGCCTATTCCCTCCTTGATTGAAGCCTGCAAAATAGTGACCATGGTAACCAACATGACTTCGATGTTAGATGTGAAAGTATCATGTGGTGTCCATATATAAGAGTGATGTTAACTCTATATTCTGCCAGAAACATACCAATAAATAACGTTAAAAAAAGTGGGCCTATGTCCTTTGTGCAACATTTGAGACATTAGTGGCACTCAAGTGCACACAAAAATTCGATATATAGGGTGAGTGCAGGAATTTTCGACCAGGAGGAAAATTCGACCAACTGCATTCAAAAACTACACAGCTGGTCAAATTTCTTACTTTTCCTATGCGGTCGAATACCCCCACCTTTACCTAGGCTATATGCAATCACACGTATGAAGCCAAACCACGGTGGATGTGTTTGTACTGTGCATGTCCAATGTACAGTGTATTAGACTCACCGGTACGTTGCAGCCGTTCACCGGTATATCAACAGTACTAACACCGCCAACTTGTGTTAATTGCAGTCGTCAAGCGTATACAGCATAATGATTTGTGATACAATGTAGGTGGGGTGTGGGTGCGAATCCTGGGTCGAAACTATGGACAGGGAGGTTTTTTTTTTTTTTAGGAAAATAAAGCCTGAAAGGCTGAATGCTATAGGAGCCTAATTTCACCTGTTCACACGTGATTTTTTATGGTTGCTTGAGCATCATACATGTCATGCATGATGCATAGTGCATAGTTGTGAACCATGGTTTGGCTTCACATGCGTGTACATATGTACTATGTAGCTCAAATTCAACGTGGTGTAAACATAGAGCGTGGTATAGTACAATAGTCATTACATGTTATATGAATACGTTCCCCATAACATTCGCATGCGTCAGTATTGAGGATTTCCGACGCAGACAAAATTGTGAGATTTAGCCTCACAGCGTTTTTTATTCCACATTAGCCATAATTAATATTATGACTAACTTCATTTACATTCAAACGTCACTGTTTGAGAAATTTACTTCCAAGAAAAACTATGTTTGAAAAGAAAACTGCCGGAGCACTAACTTTACCGGGGAATTGACAGTGCAGACCCAACACAGAAAAGAGGGCGCACTGTACTGTCGTGACTGGTGTCAAAGGTCAAACCACTGTTATTTCTCAATCGTGCGTCCTTACCGACGGCCCGGACTTAGCGAAGTCGATTGAGGCGATCGTGTTTTCGACGGGCAATTGTCGTGACTGTTGTGGCCTGCCAAGTGGGTCCGTCCTTCGTGAATAGTCTGCCCGCCCGGTGTAGGCCTAAACCGCCACTTCGCCAGTGTTCATGTCCTCTTAAAAAATAATCCTTTAGGCCTGTTCAATTGATTAGGGATAGGGGATCAAGGTAAAATTTAACAACAGTCTTGTTGCGCTGTCATTTTAAATATATACCGGTAGTACTAGGCCTAGGCCTATGTTGAAAAATAGGAAAAATTTAAGATACGTTATTCATTGGGAAAAGTTGATCTTATTTGGTTGAGTCATCCCGGGCTAGAGAACTTAAACTGCAGCCTAGTATTCTGTATAGACAGAGGGGCTATTTTCAATGCAGGATTAAAATTCAAGTTTTTCTCTGTTGAACAGGTTTTTCTGAAGCGGCTGATGGCTAGTCAGGGGGTTCAACCATCAGATCTCCAGAAATCCCTGGTCAACCTTGGACTGGCCCCAACAGACTATGACCAGTGGGAGCGTCGTACGAGACGCATTGCCAAAAGTGCCGGAAAAGGAAGAGAGAGTAGTCGGAGGTTAACTGATGAAAGTGCCCTAGCCGGATCATGTCAGTAGTATAGTACATGTATTTGTAGTTTTCCCAGAAATATCTTACTAGCAACTCCAGTGCACCGTGCATAAACCAGCCAAACCACAAATGTTTAGTGTGTAAAAGCTGCATGGTGTAGAAAATACTTTTCTGGTGATCACTAAAAAGAATTTCTTAAAGGATAAAGCTGTATCCCTCTGTTTACACAAGCAAATGAAAATCAATTTCAAACCACACTGCTGGTCACTGAGAAATAAACGTGAAATAACGTGTAACGAGCCTATTAAACGCACATGTACTTCTCATGATTGACACCATTGTGATTAATTTCATCCAGATGGGTGTGCAATCAATGGGGATAAATTATATTCCTTTCTGGTTGGTGTATTCTTAATAGATTTATATGAAAAAATCTGAATGAGAAGCCATTATGATGTACAATGTACATGTACATTATCCAATTTTCTTGGCCGGTCTGCCCTGAACAGAACCCCCCCCCCACATAAATTGAAATGAACCATGTTGCTGTCGTCATTTTGTTGGTAGCAACAAGACCGTACCACAGGCATCTCATAATTGAACTAGCGAAGTGTAGTTGCCACCCAAGAAGCCTCCGTTGCTGGGAAAATTCTGGGTTCATAAAGCACTGGATTAGTCTATGGCACGCAAAGTTAATTCCGTATTATCATTATTTGGCGCAGGTGGATGATGCAATGGCACTTTCTTCACCAGCCATTTCTGTGATACCCGGGTTTGAATCCCACCCAGGCTGACATGTAGACTGAGGCTTGTCAGGCCATACTGGACTCCTTGGTCTCCCGTAAAAATTCCTGTTTTTTCAGCACTTCTAAAAGTATATAATTGGAAATGGAAAGTCAGTTTTTCTTTCTATTCTCAAAGCTCCTGTGGTAGGACCACAACCCCACGAGTCCTCAGCCAAGCAGTTTCACCATTACAGAGGCCCTGCCTGTGCCCACCATCACAAGTCCAAGAGCAGAACCACCCCTGCTGAGGAGGAGGATGAAAGCTTGAAAGAAAGACAGCGAGAGAACAAGGTCCTGGAACTGCTCATCAAGTCACGGAGGAAAGCATTGGCCAACTACAAGGCCAGACAAGAAACACTGTATCCTTTGACGCTTAACTGCGTGTTGTTTTGAAGTTTTAAAAGGTGGAATTTCTCAAAGAGAGTATGGTAAACATGACTATGCTGAAATGAATATTTTCAGTGCGTAAATGACATATATTAAAGATTTTTGTTTCACCTCTTGTGATCAGAGAATCTACAGAACAAATCACCTGGACTCCAAATCATCTGCGATGAGTCAAATAGTTGACCAAGTGTAGGCTGACGTTTTCTGTCTGTACCATGGTTGATACATACTTGAGTGAGATTTAAACTCTTCCCTCTACATGATCTGCCACCATAATGTTATACTCTTAATTGATCAGTTTTTAGTATCTAGTACCAGTCAGCAGTCAGAACGCATAAAACAAAAACATGTTGTGGGGCTATGATTTATATCCAAAGTCACATTCAGTACTTGCAATGTCATCATTGGTACAAAGCGTAAGAAGGGTACATAGCCACCCACTTTCTAAAGCAATTACATTTCTTAACAAACCATTTCCAGTCTTGAAGAGAATACAAAGCTGCGGGAAGAAATTGAAGGCAAAGAGAAGGAAGTAGTAAGTCAGTTCAAAGTGCAGACCATGTACATTTAATTTGAGATTTCAAATGTACTTGATCATGGTTAAGAGTAATGTGACAAGAAATTTGTGAAAGGGAACTGTGAACTTCTGAACACTATCTGCTTGTATGTACAATGTATTTATAAGGAAAAGTAAGACTTGCTGCTTGAAGAGATTGCCTCAGCATAACTCAACGTGTTTTGACTTTTACTAAATTGTTGGTGTGCTTTAAATATCAAATATTGCTCTATGCATTTTAAATTAATTCTGGTCCTAATAGTTCAAAGCTGAAGTATTTCAGTTCTCTCTGGTATTGGATGTGCTAGTGGATAACACTTAGATTTAGCAACAGCTTTTCAGAATACCTGAAACAGTGCAGCAAGTGCAAATACTTAGAGGGGCAGGTTTTATGTGACTAGTGTGTGTGTGTGTGTGTGTGTGTGTGTGTGTATGACAAAATTTAAAAATGACTTCAGTTTCAGTTTATTTTGAGGGTCTCTGATTTTCACTTCTGATTTTTTATTTTTCAGCACAATGAAGTGAAATCATTACTAAGAAAGTATGAGAGATTTCGGGTAAGTTTTGTAGTTAAAATTTACAAAAATATAGAAATTTATCCTTGAGCTTTACCATTCACATGCATGGAGTCTCAACCAATTTTGTTTAAGAACCATTTTCTGGATTTCAATAGTGTTTTGATTAGGTTCTTCTAGTAAAGCAGAAGTTTCCAAATTTTGTACTCCATATCGAAAAAAACTAATTGGTTATCTATTTTTTTTAGGGAGCCGTTTCAACACTGACTTCAAAGTTTGAAACCGAGAAAGCTCTTGCGAGAAAAGCTTACGAAGAAGCCAAAGCAAAAGTGTTGAAGGAAGTTGAAGGTAAAATCGCTGGGGAAAATAATTACAAAATAAATAACTCATTACAAGAATTCCTTTGCCATTGTCCACTTATGTTGTCTCCCCTGTTGCTTGTTGACTAGGCCAGTGGTTGGGCTTGTAATAGACCCTACTCTTGCTGTGAGTACTCCTAGCTGAAACAAAGGTGCAGATTCCAAAGAATTATTCAGCGCACTCTCAGCCCACCGTCCTGCTAAACATATTTTAACCCTTCCCTTCTCAGTTCCTTCAAAATTCACCATATGAGGTTCGGAAATACTTTTGAAGGATTGAGGAAGGTGTAGCTTGATTGGTGTTACTCTACACGGGGGGAGGGGTGCAAACCGTATTTTTAGTTTGGGAGGGGAATTCCTGGGTGGACTTTAAAACCTGATAAGTAATTAATATTGAGAAGGAGCCAGTTCTGATTTCTTTTTCTTTCAAGCAAATTGGTGAGTTTTATTCCCTGTCATCTCCTTTCATCATTTCTTTCGCCGTTCCCCCTTTTTTCTTCTGTTATTTTTCAATTTGTTTTTTCCCCAGGGGCCAGTGCTCTCTTTGTCCTTCCCCCTTGTAGTGCCCGTGGGCGTAACATCCCTTTAAAAGTCGAAACTCTGTACCTCTGGTTTCCTGCAATGTGCAGGATTGTGGAGGATTCTGGAAGGTTCCTTTTGAAAACATCAGGAATTAAGGGTTAAATATCCACTTTCCAACACCTCTTATCCAACCGCAGCACTGGAAAGGCAAGGCCAGGCCCTGGACGACAAGCTGCAAGAGCGAAAGACAGAGCTGTCCGTGCTGATGAGCTACAAGGACAAAGAGTACCCTGTGCGGGCAATGAAGATAGCTGAGCTGCAGAGGCAGATTCAGTACCTGTCCAGTGAGTATGAGGTAAGATCGAGCAAGGATTCAGTTGGCTGACCCACTCTCAGGCTGAGTGCTGACAGGATGAGTGTTTGTGTCATTGTCCAGTCTATCACAAGTCCCTGCTAATCCGTGTAAGTGTGGTTAGCACTGATGGGTGGGGAGGGGCAGTGTGTCCATGATGTCAGAGCAGTTTTTTGGTAGCGTTTAAAATGCAGTGAGAGAAAGACGATTGGGGACATTTTATTCTCTTTCCTCCCAGAGTATAAATATAAAAAGCCCCCATAAATGGCTTCAGATTTCAGAAAGACCATAAAAGGTTACACAAAGCAATTCCCAATTTTTGGCCCCTTGAAAAACATTCTAACCTCCCCCCCTAAGAAAAATGGTTCTGGATTGGCCTTTGGCTGCAAGTCAGTTGCAAGTTTATAGCCCATCACAAGTACATGTAGGCCTAATACACAAGTCATCCAGCCTTAAGCTAAGCCAAGCTATTCTATCTAAACTGTGACAAAAGCATTCCTATGTCGGTTCACCCTGCTTTGTGGGTGATGGGTTTTGTGATAGACTCGACTATTACACTGACATGCATCACCCAGAGGATTTGTTCATGCTCAGTTGATGACAGTGAAGTGTTTTCAGCATCTTTCTGTCCAACAAATTCAAGTGCGTTTTATTTGAAATTAATTGATTCCAAAAATTGGAATTGTTGGAATCTACATGTATCTCTGTCTGTACTTTTGCAGCTGAAAAAAAGTGGGAAACACTGCCGAATTCACACTATTAATGTTAGAGTCACACTACTTTGAGAAAATCAGTGATATTCAGGGAGTAAATTAATATTTGATAAATAAATTTATTTCGGCAACGTGACAGGGACTGTACTGGTTTTTATAAGAATTGTTGTCACCTTTTATAGGTGGAGTTTGAAAAACAGAAACCAAAGATAAATGCACTGAAGATTGTTGTTCTATACGTTTAATGTACCTTGTGTCAGTTACATATTGCCTCATCAGTGACTAAACTGGAAAGCCAATGTTATGTTTTGCCTTATGCAGGCTGAAATCAATGACCTAAGCAGTATAACAGCCATCGAGAAGGAGAAGTACCATCAAGACAGCGAGGAGAGACTTCATGCCATCAAGGAAACGGTGACAGACAATGCTATTGATTCCATGCACGACAGCCTCAAGGAGATGGCCATGCAAAATATTGTTATGAGAAAGGTCAGTCCTTCAGAATCAGTAGGGCCCTATCAAAGCTTACTTGGAAATTTTGAGGGAGGTAGATCTTTTTGAAAAGTGCACCGTATTTGGATGACCTGATTTTGGAAGATTTATGGAAACAGTGGGAGGTCTCTGATTGAAAGTGAGACACTCCTGAAAAATTTGCTTTGAAAATTTGAAAGGACTGTAGTTTGGGAAACTGAATGGAGAAATGCATGTATCCATGCTTAGGGTTTGCTGTCAAAAAAACAGTTTTGGCCTTCTGTCTTGTTTAGCTTCAAAACTATAAGTCAGTAATCACTGACAATTAGACATGAGTGGCATTGTTGGGATTCAGTTTTTGGTAGGAGAGGATTTCAGTTTTTATTGAAGGTACACTTTCGTGCAATACCTGTTTTATAATTCTTGTCCTTATGGAGCCCCTTATTTGGCCCAGGAGATGTCGTGTACAAGCACCATCTCGCTCAGTGCGTTATTGTCCACGACTCTGAGTTTCGTCTCATTTCGGTCAACAGGAGATTGAGGGGCACCACAAACTACTAGAAGAGTTAGAAGCTACCATTGGGGACCTCACTGAGGAGGTGTCACAGCTGAGGGCAGACCCCAAGACCAACACCAGACGGGTCATGTTCCCTCATCTGTTCAATGAAATACCCAAGTAAGAGCTCAAGTATTCCTGTTCTTTAACCAAGGCTTAAAATGTATCCAGATCCCACAAAATGAGTCATAAAGTCATTTTTTTGTCTTCAGTAATTTGGTTTCAATAGAAAGAGCGAACGAAGCTTTACCGTTTGATGTGTAACTCAGTTTGGTATCCTGATGGAAATGGACATTTGAAGGGTGAACAAAGTCATCCTAGTGACTTATATTCTGCAAGATTCTTTTGAAGGCCTTTAACTCAAAAGTGACTCTGGTGACTTGTGATATTCTGAAAGTAGTCCTCGCTAGACTGCAAGCACTTCTGTGTAGGACTGTGCACTCCTGATATTTTTCCAAGAAATTTGTCCACATCACTAAAAGTGAACCTGTTTTCATTGTCTTCCTCATTGTCACTCATAATGATCCTATAATTGGCACTTAATACACTGTTGGATGGAAATAAATATTCTCATTCTTCATTGCAGGTGCACACCAGACATGGACGTAATGTTGGACATACCGACCCAGCAGTGGCTCCCAATCTAAGACACTCTTGACAAACAGCCATTTGATCCTTGACAAGCTTGATACACCATCCATGTTGAATGGTGTTGATTCCTCTGCAACTGTGCATGTACAGAGCTGCCGTCTGTCAGAAGCGTGGTATATGCAGAGTCTAAAACAGCATCAAGGATGGCAAAGGTTCACAGAGGGCTTTTTCTTAAAATCAGTGGCATATCCAGGCCTTGGGTCCGGGAATAGGGCAAAATTAAATTTTTTACCCAATAACAACTGTCCAATTCATTCCTGATGGAATCCTAACCCTCCCCCCCAGGGATAGCGCTGTTCATAAAATACTGCCACATTTCAATTCCTAAAACGAGAAAAAAATATTGGCAACATGTCTCCAGGAGGGGCACCTTGCCTTCTTCCCCCTCCCCACCAATGGGATACACCTCAGCTCAAAATGCCACAGTCTACTGGAGCACATTAGCTTTTCGACCTACATGTACCAAGCAGGCAAAAACTGCAGCCTCGTGATGTCACCCAGTTGCATGTTCTTTCTACATGACATTATGGATTTGGGGCTCTGCTTTGCAGTTTTGTATTTTGTCAAAATACGGGGTGCACATTTTTTATCCATTCCGAATTTTGGGCGAGTATTTTGAGCAATGGTCTTGTCTTCCTTTTCTCCTTGGTTTTAAAACCCTGTTTGAAAGTTTGAACGCAAAGGGAATCATTTGCCACATAATTATTTCTAGTTTGTAAATATGTACATACTTGTACATGTAGACTATCTGGATGCCTCTTTTTTAGACTATACAAGTATTACAGGAGTGTGAGAATTCCACTTTTTAGCTGATTTCAGCTTTTTGTTTAGATTTTGACCCTGATTTCCAGCCTGTTTGTACTGTACCAAAGCATGGAAACGTTTACATTTCAGCTTTTGTAAATGTTTTCAGCTTTAATTTCAAGTGGCTACTCACACCCCTGGTATTAAAACTTGTTAATAGATTCAAGAAAAGAACTTGCAGTTCAGGGAATAAAAATTCTGGATTTTGCCACGGAGGATGTATGAAATATGAAAGATGTTACTCCAAAGATGCATGTGGTAAGCATCAGACCTGTAATTTTTTTCTGTCCAACTTTTATGTCAGGAATGCAGAGTGATGAATGCACTTTGTCTCTAAGATGTACTCTTTTCTGTCTAACTTTGTAAAGTTACATAATACAAAGAAGACCTTTTCAATAAAACACAAATCTCATCATAGAGGAATCCAGAGTTTGGATGTGAGTAATTTACATATGTGCTTGGAGCAGTGTTCCAAAGTCCTCTAAGAAGCCAGTTCATTATTTCACAAGAGTAAGGTCATTCGGGAGCAAAGCATTTGCAGAGCTGAGAGGCAACCTCGTATGTGTCTCCGAATGACCTCCGACACCCTTCATTTTGAGTATGCGTTGTTGGGATACTGAACTGGCTCATTTATTTTTTCAGAGGGTATTTCCATCTATGCTGTAGCCAATCAACTGCAATACTGCAAGATATGGGCACAAATTGATTAAAATTACATTTTTTTTTCTCAACTGAATGTGCAGGATAAAATTTAACATGTCCTATGAAACATTCAATCCCTGGCCAAAGCTGCTTATTTTCCAATGACTGAAAACATCAAAGAAAGAAAAATTTAACACTAACAGGCTAGATTAAATACAACTGAAACCTTTCATTGTTTATTAGAACACTGCATACGGAAATATTACTGATTTCTTAAAACCACATCTAAAAGTTTTAACACGGTGCATATCCTGGTTCAGAAAGCAAAGCATGCATCTTGTTTTTTTAATGAAGACGTTGGAGGAATTACCATATTGAAGCTAAGTGGCGACACAATTTGTTACCACTGTCGCTGGAATTTAAGAAAACGGGTCAGGTGGCTGTTTTTACTTGACATAATTATCCACAGGCCATTCTGTATGCCGAGTGACACCTAAACACTTGCCAGAATTTAGCACTGAAATGTCAGATGACACATGAAAGAACCAAATTATCCAGCATTGCATTTTTACCCAAGACAGAAACTCATAAACAGTGCAATGCAGTGAACTTCATGGGATGACAAAGATATCCTGAGAAGCCAACTTAAATGTGTTTTAGGAAAACCTGTATTTTTTTAAAAAGAAAACACCTTGAAACCTGGAATTTGAACTTACTTTTGCATGTGTAGTTTGATATCCAAACCGAGTGAACATACAATTCATAATATGTAATTCCTAAATACTGTTTTCCTGCTAATTTACCTTCGTGTTGCCATGACAGTAAAATTTGGTGGTTTCTGTAGAAATGAAACCCCTGAAAATTACTTTCATATTCTCTTAAAATGATGAATTTGAAATCTCTTCTAATATCGAACACATTACAACCAGGCTGCGCTACATAAAATCCATCCGTTTGTGGACAGGAATTGTACCTAAGTTTAAACCTCGAGCCTTAAGTATGCTTTTTCCCTGTCATCACTTCTTCCAGTCGTTCTTCTCGTAGTCCCATTTGGACGCAAGGCCCGTGACAGGGTTATTGCGAATGGCAATGTTGTACTTCATCTGTTCCTGCTGCCATTCTTTGGTCATGGTGCGAGGCAGGGGCGGGGCAACTGCATTTAGAAGAGGAAACAAAAAGGGAGGGGTTTCATTTCTCAGTCGTGACGAGAAAATGGGTCAGCTGCGCAGTACTGAATCCGGAAGGACATTGCTGTACGCTAGTCACGCCAGCCAGCATGTACTGCATATTGCCAGCAAGTGTCCACTGATTCTGTACCCATCTTTTATGTCAATAACGAAAACCTAGCTTTAGGGAGGCTCACCAAGCAATCAATCAATCTTACCAAATTTCTTCTGTAGACCGTAAAAGAAAATGGAGATGGCAAGCAGCCCAAAGACACCACCAATGACGTACTTCCATTCACTTGTAGGGGCTCGCATCTCCGAGTAACTCTTGTCAAAACTTAGTCTGTATACTGTGGGAAAACATAAAACCGAAAGAACTCTCAAGATTAGCTGTGACTCTGCAATTATTTTGAATTGGCCAACCACCAGATTCAGCTGCAAGTACACTGGCTAAAGTACAGGAAATTGCAATTGAAAGTTAAGACAGTGAATAGGAACGGGAAATTTTGTGAATTCACGCTTACTTTCACATTTCACAAGGCGTGAAAATATTATCCCACTTGTGTGAAAAGGTAAGAAAATGCTTTCCAACTTGTATGAAGAGATGTGAAAATGTTTCCCACTCGTCTGAAATGACAATAAAATGTTTTCCCATATATATGTGTGCATGTGTGAAGAGGCATGAAAATATTTTCCCTGCTGTGGAAAATTGTTACCAAATTTTGTAACACAAAAAAGAATTCCATGGGAGGAGAGAAAGAGGGAGAAGAATTTCCTGTTACCAGCAATTTCATTGCAATTGCAATGTACTTTACCTTCGGTATTTGGAATGCATAGTATGCAATGTTGCAGCACATGCACCTTGTAGGATCTCAAGGGAAATCCAAGACATCCAAATGTTAAGCCATACATGTGTGCATGTAAGAGAGATCAACATTCTTCACCCCTGAACCTCCAAAAGCTTTCAAATTCTACCAGGAGTTTGGAAAAAACTGAAAGGATACAGAGAGATAGAGCCAGCCAACTTTCACTTAACGAGAGACGTGACGACCCTAATTTCATAAGTGCGATTGCTAAGACCATGTTACTGGTTTCTTTCACAGCAGAGGATTTTCCCATCAAAAATGTTAAGGTCAATGAAACTCACAGGCTTTCTTCTCATCCAGAGTCAGGCTCTTCCAGTCCCCTTGCTCCTTTGCCTTCAGCGCCTGCATGTCCGATGACAGGTCTGCCTCCGGGACAAAACGGCAGGGCGGGGCCGGGTAGTCTAGGCGATCGGCATAGGGCAACGTGGAGGTCGATCGCACACAGGCAGAGGCAGCAAAGCGCCTGCTTGTTATCCTCAGCATGTTGACGGCCATGGCTGAACTTTAGAAGATAGATAAATATGATGTTGCAGTATTATATCCGACAGCAGTTCGTGAAATATGATTTGGGGCTTTGAATGAGTTGCCTTTGTGTGTTGATAGTTTGTGTATGGCAGTAAGAAAAAAGTCAAGACAAATACATGTAGGTAGAAATTATGCAGTAAAATACATACCTGGAAAATATAGTTAAGGACATAGCCTACATGTAAGTACATTTAGGGAAAAAAGTCATGACATAATTGACAGACCCAAGGACGTGATGATGAGGGAAGATGAAAAAGGAGCAAGCAGGCCCATTGGCCATGTTCATTTAGGGCCTAACGGCTATGGCATTGAGCCTATAATGCTATGGCCTAGGCCTTACAGGAGGAAAAAAAAAAGCAAAAGCAAAACAAAAAACATTATTTTATTCGGGCTTACACCCACGCCATGTACGCTTACAGAAAAGAAAAATAAAGCCTAAATAACTAACCAAAATGATGGCTAGACTCGTAGTAAAAAAAATGCCCTGAAGATATCTGTCGCACTGCTGCATGTATGAAGTTTGTCCGGAAACTGAACCTAATCATGCGCTATTCTGAATTGACATTGCAGTGCCAATTAACCTGAATAAAATTTGTATCAAGAACCACTTCATGAAACAAATTACGGCAAAACCTAATTGCAAAATACTCTAAAGAATTAAAAACCTAAGTATGAAATGTTAAAGTGGAACAATTTAAGACACACCACCGAAAAAAAACCTTGCGTACGTACTTGCCGGTAAAAAAAGTGCGGTCTTCTTGTCAAAATGGCGTACGTGAGCGCAGAGCATGGTCATATCAAGCCAGTAGAGGGCGCATTCCTTATTTCCTCCTCCTGGTAAAGTTTGATGAGTCAAAACACGTGTGTCGTCTGGGACACTGGCATTGGGATACTTATCGCCTCCCCCATGTTGCAACCTCTCCTATAGCACAACTGTAGTGAATATATGATTAGGCGGGGGAGGTACAGATTTTGAACTGTTTGTAGATAGACTGTGCAAAATACAATCAATTCTGGTATGATTCGACATTGGATCTGCTCGCTTATCTTGTTTGTTTGTTAGTTTTTCAGATACATATCTTTTCCTCCCTAATTCTCCCGCTGCTCTCAGCTAGCTGTGCATGCCCCATGGTATCTAACCTCCGGTTTCACCTCTTTTTTTTCTCCCCCTTGTGAATGTCGGACGCCCCTCCCTCTTCGGCCCTAATAGAGCCCATGGGGGCGGAATGCAACCCAGCCCCGGCTGTGAGATGGGCCCAAATAACCCTGCTCTTTGTAAATTTGAGGGTTATTAAGAGTTTTCAGAGTAACTCTTTGTGGCCATTTTTGACGCCAATTTTTTTTTGACAAACTAAAATTTTTTTTAAGCAGCGCGCATTTTTCCGAGACAGGTCAGCCAGAATGTATGCGTTTTTCATTACGGAGCTCAATACACGCAGGCTAGCGTGTATGTAGGCTTGCACTTGCCCTAACCATTTAAAAATGTTCGATTAAGTTCAAACTTCACACTTGTAATGATTAGAAAAGAAAAAGAGTTGTTGGTCGTCCCCGCCCGACACCAAAACGCCCAGTCCACTTTTCTGTTTTGTTTTAAAGTGCTTATGAATGATGAAGGTTTAGATGGCAGTGATTCAGTTCCAAATACAAAATCGTATTGCGGTCTTGTGGCGGTATGACATCGGTCCCGCTGGGGTCCCATTAAAAACAGGGACGTACCTGTTTCTTTCACTTAGCACAATTACTCTAATTACCGACAGATATACCCTGTCTTCATGTTGTGCCGCATTGTTGAGCGGTACTAGGCCGTTTTTCAATACTCAACTTTGTCTCCGTCTCAGGCTTCGTCTTCGAAACCAATCCCTGATTGTGGGCCTGAAGCCTTCAAATTAAATTGAAGAACTGCAATGTTTGGCTCTCTTGCATCTTACTTGTTTTGTTGCGCTATCAGACTTACTATTGCGCTTACAACTTCAAAGTCATGATCAGGAAGTAAAAAAAAAAAAAAACAGTTGAAGCCTGAACTGGAGCCGAACCGAGTATTGGAAAAGGGCCCTATATAAAAAAATATTACCGGCTCCACTTTCTTTAAAAGAAAATGGATGATCAACAATGTATTTTTATGCGGCCTAAAGGCGCCTTTCCGTAAGCGTGTCAACACTTGTGCCAAGGGTTGGGTATCAAAATCGCTCCCGGGGCAATTTTGACAAATGAACACAACGCACACGTGTGTTATGTTCATCATCCACCATGCAAACCTTCAAGAGCTCAGGCTACTCATCATGGAGTCGATTCCGTGAAATTGAAACCGTACGCGCGCTTGAACGCATTGTTTACGCATACGCCACGCACCCAAGAAACGTACACATGGAAAAGCGCCGGAAAGAGTGCTTTTACAATGCACACCAAGTAAAAAAAATGACTGTGGTACAGCCGAGTTCTTGGGGGGCAGAACCGGTACCTCTCCCCCTCCTGGCTGGCAGGTCCAAAATAAACCTGGTTCTTTGAGGGTTCAACTACTAAGACTCTTTGTGACTTGTGTTTGGCGTTAGGACACTCTCCAACATTTAAATGCCTCATAAGTTCAAGGCAACTAGTCATAACTGAGGGCTTTGTGTGTTTAGGGTTTATCTGGGTATTATCTGTCGGAGCTAATATATCATTATTGTGTGTAAAGCCTGCTTGTTACCGGCCAGTAGCGTTACAAAACTCGGTGTATCTCCAAGTCATGAAGCGTGCACTGACAGTTGGCGGTTCCCAGGTTGGTCAGCGGGGACTAGGCTCCCCCTCCCCACAAAAGGGGGTATTTTGCAATTAAAGTGCGTGCTTAATAAGAAATCTCGGGAACATGTTTATTTTCTTTCTTTTTCAATGGTGTAGAAAGCCCCGATTTTAGCCCCCAAACACACGCCCCTTAAAATGACCCTAAAAGCTGTGTAGTGAAATCCACGGGGTGTCGCCAGTGTTGTTGCTACGGGGGGGGGGGCTTGCGGGGCACGCCCCCTCCCCACAAATTCCCAGTGCCCCCATGTGCCCCCGCTAAAAACAGATGAATGGATATTGAACAAGGCTAACGTCTCCCACCAAACACCACTGAAAGCTGGTGCCACAAAAGGTGCTGATGCCCCCTTGGTGCCCCCGACTAAAATCTTAGCGGACCCTGGGTGTCGCCAGGCAATTACACAAAAGGTAGGGTCAAGTGAACCAGGCCATACAGGCTGAACATAGGTTACTGATATTTATTCTTAAAATGAATTAAAAAGCAGCTGAGATGCAAAGAAAAATAGAAAAAAAGCCTCTTGAACGACAGATGACATGCCCTAAACTGTCACAGGTGTGGCGCTCTGGAAATATCTTTTGAAAAAACATATAAAACCAAAAAATATTTTAAAAATAGCCTCCTCCTCAAAAATGTGGTTATGGGTGCTGAAAATAACGTTGACAACGCACTCAACCTTTCTGAAGATGATACCGTGTACTGTATGTACAATGTACATGTACGGTACTAGTCATGCCGTTGCTCTTAACTTGGTGCAGTGTCCCAATTCAAGGAAAGGTCTCCGCCATGCAGGAGCGCTTAAAAAATACCCCTCACCGATTCTTTCAAAAAGAAGGGTCTGTTTGGAACACGAAATTGTGGGATTGTGTCATTATGGCCCAGAATCATCTCTGTAGATTCAGGGGCACCCATCTGGGGGGTAAAGCAGACAAAAATGTAATTGAAAATTTGTTAGAAGAGCCTCGTAAGGTGAGGGATGTCATTTGAAAAATAGCAGCTGGGAAGACGCGGGAACATTCACTTTTTGTGGGGTGATCGAGTTTGTTTTTTTGGCGGATAATAAAAAAAAATCATTGGTTATCCTACTATTAATTGGCAATCAAATGAAATCTGAAGGAACAAACAACACACTGTTTTTTGTTTGAGAGGCCTCAGGAACCTCAGTTGCCTGCCATGGGGCTCCAAACTTTGTTGAGTTTACACTATTGTCAAGGAGCTTGAAGAATTGGTTCAGTACCCTATAGCGGTACGTAGGAGCGCAAACGAAACCGACACTCACAAGAGGGCGGTGTTGCTTCCTGACAGATTAATCGTGGCGTATCCTCTGTCTTGATACGCCGATGACTCACTCACAAAGTGGTGAACTTTACTCAGGAAATTATGTTCACTGCTGGTAAGTGAAACGTGGACGCAGGTTTAGGGAATCTTTATGACGTGTCTGGTGTTGCAGATACGAGTTCGTTCATATATGGTTTGGTTGAGAAGATTTGATATAAGCTGGTAAGTATGGTTGGTGAATATATATGTACATGGAGGAAGGAACATCCTCCATGATGAGTATACATGTCCATGTACATGTATATTGTGTGTGCTTATACTAGGCCTACATGTAGTTGTATTTATGCGATGACATGATTGATGTATGTAGGATGTAATTGTCATGAACTGTAAACCAAAAGCATTGTTTTGACCATTTGTTCCTCCATGTATGGACCAATTTCATTGAAATTGGTGTAACCTGCTAACAAATATTCTTTAAAATAATGTGTGTTTTGTTCTCGTACAGATTTGATAATTTTCTGTCACTGGGATACCTCAGAGCAGCATTTGTCTCATGCGTGGGCCTGTGGTTGATGGGCATACTGTCGGCAAAATGATCCACATTGACTGGTGTTAATAGTCCTGCTAGTGTTGAGCATTTGTCATCAGTAAAAAGCAGTGATAACAGATTCCTCACCGAGAAACATTACGTTGATGTAAAAAAGACGGTAACCCACCGCTGAAAGGTCACAGTTCTGACATCCTATTCCTCGCCATGGTCGGGTCGTTTCGGAGTCACGTCTGGGATCCCGTTCTCCTGATCTCCCAGATTGTCAGCATGCAGTGCACGTTTTACGTCTGCTACGGGTTCTGGCTGGTCCTTATTGACCTGATCCTGGATAACCCGAGGGTTCTAGACCAGGTCTTCAAATATGAGGTTAGTCAATCTGGGGGCCACGTTTTCAGAAAATTGAATGACCAGTTTTGGTTTGCACACAGAGCATGGCCGGAATGAAGCACACCAGGGGTCATTCAGGAACAGCAATATGCTCACACAAGGTCTGTTTTGAATGTTTGAATGGGGACATACAGTGTTGCTCTGTAGAATGACTGGCTAGTAGTTTCATGTTGGACTGCTTAATTTTGTTGGTGTGGTATCGCTACTCTGCAAGTCCCCCGTATACTGCAGAGACCTGTCCATAACTCAAACTTCAACACTGTTGACCTGTTGGAGTTTAACAGATTCGGCTATGTTACGTGTCAGTAATTACATTGACTTCTTGAGGCAAGTTGGATCTGTTGAACTTTGTTAGGTTTCTAGTACAAATGCCGAGGAGGTTAGGGTTAAGGTGGTGGTGTTTTGATATTACATACGTGCACGAAAAAATTGTTGACAGAGATTTCTTTATTCCTGAACAGTGCTTAGAGTTTGGGAGTTCCAAGGGCAGAACCATCGTAGCAGTGTACGTCTTGAATTCACTAACTTGGTAAGTCACAGTTTCAATGTTGCATTCTTTCTGCATTCTCATGTCAAATTGGAACAGTTCCTTGTACTTAGTAGCTGGATCTTGTAGATTAAGATCTCGAGACTAGAACTACTTCTTTGAAGATAGTTTTAGAGGCCAGGGTGTCAGTGTGTGGTGAGGGTGTAGATAATCCTAATTGGAAAATGGAATATTCGTCCTCTGTTAGCCTACCCACTTTGGCCTTCCCCGTTTAGCTTTTGTCAGCATCGCACTTATTGCTTTCAAAATCTCCGATCCATATCGCTGTAATCTGCCGCTGTGCAGCCCCCACTGCAAAACTATGGTAGACAAACAACATAATACTGCCATACTTTCAGAATGTCCTTTGAAAGTGCTCCGCCATCTTTGAAGCATGACTGATGCTCAAGACAAATAACACAGTGCAGGTGAAACGATATGAATGGTTCCCATACACGATTTCGAGAGATGTCACGAGGAGGAATGATATACATACATTGTAATTTGCGAATGGGATTTGAAATGCCTTCAGCAATTACATGTATGTTGCAGTGTTTCTGCATCCATTCCACCCTGAGTTTATGTGCACCTCCACCAGCGAAGGAGAGAAACTGTGATGGGAAGTTTTCCCAGCAGGCTCATGTCCAAACCTTGCTCACTGAAGACTATTCACGTGCATTCACACAGAAACTGACCATGGATGCTGAGCATGGCCAGTGTCAAACTCTCATGAACCAGTGTGTACATGTATGTGCACACGGTGAGCTCCCACTATAAAGGACCTGTGAATACATGCCTTCTCTCTCTCATTCCCGCTTGGAGCAGAAAGGTTGCATTTTTCTGAACATGCCCATGTACGGGACACAACGGTTCAAAATAGTACATGTGCATTAACAGCCCAAATTACCAGTTTCGATGTTGTTCATTAGTGATGTATTTCCTGGAAAGATTGATGCATTAGAGCTCACCCTCAATTATTGCGATTCTAAAAGTAGGGACTTCATCTTGATCTGTGTTGCTGTTGTTGTCATCCTCAGTGCCTTAGGATTGTGGGTGGCGGTTGGGAGGGCCAAGCAGTGCACGGATTTCGCCCTGACTGTCCACATGCTCCACCTGGTCGCCTGCTGGGCCTACAACCGGCAGTTCCCCCACACCCTCTCCTGGTGGCTAGTCAACATCGTCTGCGTAGCCCTGATGACGGTGTTGGGCGAGTTCCTCTGCATGCGCAGCGAGATGAAGGCCATTCCGCTGAGCACGGCCGCTCGGTCGGACTTATGACCACGCCTCGCCCGATGTCTGACCCCCTGATACTTGTAGCATACACCTGTTTGACAAAATCTTTAACTCTTGCCTGATTTACATGCACATGTAAGACAGTTTGTTCTCACAGGTTCCCAGTGTTAGATCAGTGCCATCTTCAGCCCAGTTCTTAACGAGACTGAATACAACCTCAGCATTTCGCACTGAGGAAGACCCTTAAAAATGACCTGTTGCTCCTTGTTCCAGTGCCCTCTGACACGAGGTCAACTCATAATGACTTGCACATGGATTGCACTCTGCTAATGTGGCTTAATCTGCCAAATTCAGTCCGTCCCCCCCATGTAATCCTCGGACTCACAATGGCAGTACTACGAATGGAAGACTTCTCATTGAGAATCAGATCAGTGTGGCATGCCTTGAGCTATCTTACAAACTTTGGCCACATTGATAACTTTGGTGCCATCTTAAGCTGTGGTCATCTTGCAATACATGTAGCTTTTGAATATTGGCACCACGTGTAAAGCAACGCTGCAGACATTTGCCCCACGGGACCAGATTTGATGTTTAGTGCCGAAGGGAAAAAAAATGGGCCTGTGTTTTTTTTGAGTAGGTGTCTCCCAAGCAGGAGGTGTACCAAAGCCATTGAAACCTGGAGCCTGATGCCACTGCCCCAGAGGTAGCCAAGATTTATGAAAACATTGCAAGAGCAGAAATCTGGTAGCTGCCTCTTCGTTCACTGGGATGACCCTCTTTTGCTTGACAGCTAACAGATGTGGTATTGATGTTTGGGACTGCCTGGGGCAGTTTCCAGCTGACTTCATGTCCACTTTTTACAGGCTTGAAAAGGACAGAAAAGCCCACCAAAAATATTATCTGCAGCCTGCCAACACAAGTATAATATGTCTCTATGCCGAGGGTGGGTCCAGAACCAATTTTCAGTCCATGGGGCAGCCAAAAAAGGGGGATTTTAAAACCTTTTATGGCCGTTTTGAGGGACAGGGCTACATTTTTTGGACCTATGCTTTGGAAGTGGGACCAAAACGTCCCTGAAAATCCTCTTTCATATTTTAAAAGGAAAAGATTTTTGCCCAAAGTTTTGGTGGGGGAGGGGCTACATTTACCTCCCTCCAGATCTGTCAATAAATCCCTTCTGGAAAGTTTACTACTGTACTGTACCGTAGAACCAGAGATTCTGTCATACATGCAAGTGGTTTTTAATTAGGGAGTTCCGTACATACATGTACATGAATGTTACTCCAAAGCTATCCAGTTCTGTTCTCACATCTGTTCACAGGAAAGAAATGACGAACCAGAAGCTAGCAATACTGGGAAGAGGTTTAAAAAGTGCAGATTCTGTTACACTAATTTGTTTCATTTTTAATGACTTTTGCAAATGCACAATGAGCAAAATATTTAAACCTGTTCCCGAGGTAAAATAATGAAAAAAGTCCTGTCACATTTGGACAGATGTCACAGGTACATGTACATTGTATGCGCAAAACAAACCCACCAAAATCCAGCAGAGTTCAAGTGCAGCATACTGTAGGCCTATGTTTGAATTCAGATTAGTAGGTATTGGAAGTCTGCAAACAGTGCACTATGTCAAAGCAACAAATGTACAATATAATGAGTATTTTTTATGAGAGCTGCTCTGCACAAGAGGGTACATTACAAGAGCACCTACGAATTTCACATAGGCAATCATTATTTGATCCCTAGTATACATGTACATGTAGAATGCAGGCCAATTTGAGTATCGGACAATCGAACACTAAAAGGGTCGTCTAGGAGAGCAGTCTTGAGGTGGGGTCAGTCTTTCAAAAGGACAAAGCCACTGGAGAACAAAACATGCGTTGGGCAGACTTCACATTCGCATATTGCAGTTTTCAAATGATCTCGGACACTCTTCACTTTGGGCCTGTCCCGTTGGAATATCGAAGTACCTCATCAAGAGAGATGCATGTAATAAATCTGAAGTTTGTGGACAGTTTTTAACAAATTGGGGCAAATTTAAACATGTGACATGTTTTATGTATTGTTTAGAAATTCATTCATGGATGTGTATCAGTGTATGAAGTGTGCAGAATTCACAGAATTGGACTTGGGGGACAGAAAGAAATGTTTGAACTCTACCACAGTATCATAAAAGAGGTTAACTGAAGGGTAACAAAAAGACAATTTCTGTGTTAATTTATAATTTCTGTGTGAAACACGTGTAAAATGTATTCTAGTAATTTATTGTTTTTATGTCGGTAACTTGAAAGTACATGTACATGTAATAGTGCTATGATCTGCAGGCTGATGCATGTAAAACTTGTGTTGTCCAATGCAGTTAGAAAGTCTGTGTTCTATTGTCCCTTCAGAATTTATTTGAACTGTACAGGTCCAGTAGATAAAAAAAGGAAGGTACATGTACCTGTAGGTCTTATCACGACTTTGTTCTAAAAATAGGTGATGCACATGAACAAGGCAGAGGTTTGCAGCTGTGAGATTTGGAGACCTGTTCTGTAAAATGAGCATTGAAGCTGTGCTCATAAATCATTGATGGACAACCATTGCTTACACACACATTAGAACGTTATTAAACCCAGTTAACATTTTTATTTTGCACAAAATACATGCAATTACTGGTATAACTCTGTTTTTCCTTTTAAAATATAAGTAAGCCTCTGTATATCAACAGCTAAAAAGAAATTCACTGTACAGGTTGGAATAAATAATATCATATTTTGATAAATAAATGCACTTGCAAATATTTCAAACATGCTTGCCTGAACAGCTGTGCAAGATTTTTTCTTGAAATACTTGTAAAAGCTACCAATTTCACCCTCTTGAACAGCTGCTCTGGAAAAAAAAAGACTATCAAATTGTAAAATGCAAATTCTAGTACCTTGACATTAACAAGAAGAGTTACAGCAACCATTTTCTTGGGGTGATAAACAGTTCAGCAGTTGCGTTAATACGTGTAGTTTTGAATGAAAGTACACAGAATTTGACATCTTCACACACAATGTTCAGTAAGTACTTGAGTCAATGTTCTTGCAAAAGTTTCTGGACGGAATGGCATAAAATGTGACATTCAATTGTCATACCGGAAAGTACCAGTATTTGGTCGCAACTAGTTACAGTTTGAGTTTCAATTGAGTTGGAATGTTCCACATACATGGATAACTCTTTTTGGAAACATCTGCAAGGTTCAAATTGTCTCTAAAACACATTCCAGAAGAAAAAAACGTCTGTATCAACGAAACACGGGGAATAATTGAACAATAACAAACGACATTCCCACAGAATACATTTTTCTTGATACATGTACCTTACAGTACAGCCAACACATCCACAATCTGGCAACCAATATGCAACGATAATTGTAATCTCCTTACTGTTCAGAATAGTAACACCTCAATTCCAATTCATAACGCACAGACAATCAATTACATGAAAATGTGTTCTTCCACAACCCTACTGTACATGCACAACTGATGTCAAAGTGCAAGCCAGGTCGCCATAATTTTCCCCCATTACAACAGCACATTAATCATTGACCGTGTTGAAAATCTCCAGCCTGCTGTGGACGCCAGAAGTGGCTTTGGCACGGTGAAGTTCACACTGTTCACACTGAAATGTTCACACTGAAAGCACCACTACTGAAAGTACAAAAAATACTGTTTTGAAACGTGGCCATTCTATACTGTCCCGGCGTACCTGGAGAATGCAGGATAAAAATATGAATGAAAATATGACACTTGTCATTTCTTAATTTGGTTAGAGTGAGTTAAAGTGACAGAAACAGTGCAACCACTATACAGTAGATGTAGTTGTACATGTAATTGGTGTATAATATAAACATGCATGTACAAAATGTCATGAAATGATAACAGCAAGATAAAACATAAAAGGGAAATCGTTCAAAGAATACATTTTAAAAATCCACTTTTAAACAGCTTACAAGTCATAAAAATCTTCTTGAATACAGTAGCCAGGCATTGGCTGAGCTGCTTATGAAACCATAATATCTTATTGCTGAAATATAGGAATACTAACAGTTCAAATGGTATATGCTGAACATGCAAAAAGCCTAAAAGAAGCCTCAGTGGGCCAACCACAGAATGGGTAAAAAATAAATTTTAAAAAAATTTAAAAAGTCAATAGATTTGTAAAATAATGACGTCATGGTTTGTTTACATGCGTGCTTTCCTGTAGCAGAAAGGTGGGACGCGATCCATTGAGCCCCCATAGGAAAGCGTACATTGTAAGCAAAGCATGCTGTCATTGTTTTACCATGGGTCTATTTTAAGCAATGCACAAAAAGTAGCCGCAACAATGAAATGATGTGCAACTCTCCATCACAGTTATACAAAACAGGTTACCTACCATATGTTGATGCTGTCTCCAATCCCTTTGTCACCTCACAAAAGGGACAATCCACAATACAGTGCTCTATCAACAGATTACCAGGGAGAGGCGATTTTATCAAGTTTACGGTTAACAAAAGCATAGCCGCCTTGTTGCGATTTGCATGTCAGTGGACACCTTGGGGAAATTATTGACAGATTGGGACATTTCATGCAATAGGAGAAAGATTTATTTCCTTCCATGAAAAACAGGAACCAAGTTCCCCACACAGCAGCTGGTGAATAGAACTTGTCTACCATTTTCCACAATACACTGCCAAAATTGGCCTTTCTGTGGCAACCTCTTGGTGGTTCACTGTATTGAACAAAAGGCTTTCAATGGTGCATGTACAATGAATCCTGACGACACAGATACCTTGCGTCAAAATACCCCGAAACTTTGATTTTGGGAACTAAATTCAAAGTCCACTGTAAAACAAACCCAAGTTGTAAGTTTGAAGCCTCTTTAATGAAAATGCTTGCCCTTTAATGCAAGGGCAAAACCCTGTAAAATCTGAAGGAACATCTTGTGAATATTAAAGATCTCTTTAGGAAAAAGGAATTGAAAAGGGCCCCAAAATGTCTCAAAACATCTTCCGAGCAACCATTCAGTGGCAATAGCGTACATACGTTTGTCTTGTCTAATATTGTGTCTAAGACACAACTGGTAATCCTTTTCGAAGAAAACAGAATCAACCAGTTTTCCGTTCCATATTCTCAGACTGTTTTTCTTTTGGCATTACGTGCACAAAATGTTCCTGACAGACATTGAAACTGATATTTTCCCGTGTTGTTTCAATAGCTTTATATCTCTCAACCAATGGAACATCAAAAACTTTCCACCTGTTTTGCTGAAGTGTGGGGGGGGGTTGCCTATGAAGTTTATCCTTGCCAGATACAGGGTCGATCAGCTAACTTGAATATTATTCAGGAAAATAATACCAACAGCACAGCTCCATCTTTTCCTAGTTGTTGGGATGCTCAAGGTTGCCCTGGAGAATTAGAGGGGTCATCAACTGACTCTGACAAGTTCGGGAGACTTCCACTTTTCCTGGTTGTTTGGTCCGACTAGATTGTTGCAGATCACCCCTGCATCCTCTTGGACTGTCCTAGCGCAAAGAGTTCAAAAGCTCATTGACTGGCCTGCACTTACAGCACCGCTCCGTTCTTCGAGGCCGCTGTGTCCTCACTGGCATCACCTGGAGCGGTGAGAAGGCTCGCCAACTGACTTGAGGATACCTCGGACAAGAACTCTTTGGCACATTTTCCCTCCTGGTTGATGGCATCCAGAGATGCTGCATTGCAAATCAGAAGCTCCGCCATTGCTACATCACCCTTCATGGCAGCGATCATCAATGGGGTATTCTGTCAGAAGAACATTTTTTTAAATGGACAGACATTACAATCTGATCAAAACAGAGCTGGATAAAATTTTGAAATTGAAATTTTAGTATGGCCAATATTATTTACTTTATAATATTGTGACTAGCAAAATCTACATATTGTGTTTATTTTTTTTAAGCTAGGGAATATGCTTTCCTCGGGATAACAATTCTTGCAAACTCATCAGGAAATTTTCTATGGCACACAGCATCCAATTTTGGGCCCGCAAATAAAAAATTCCAAACACTAATTTTTCTTCCTACAGAAGATACCCTTATAGACTTCAGCAAAGAGGAATGCAGCTAGGAATCTAGGGGCTCAGGAGGAAAAGCCGTAAGGTTAATTCTGAGAAAAACCCTCACAACTGACAAGCCAATTCACAGCTAAACCAAGTTATGAGATTCCAAGCAAGGTCATCATCCAAGGACCGAAGATTAAAAAAGTAACACTGTTTCTATCAAGACAGCAGCCACCCATTTTTCAGTTATGTAACTTGCGTGTACATTCCTTTGTTTTCAAGTAGTTCTAAGAAAATTCAGAGAAAAAGGAAAGTAATGTTGCTCGCGCTATGAGTAATCTTTCGCCTGAACTTTTCAACATGATTTCCTCAAATGTTGTTTTACTTCATTTTGCGGTACAAGAACGCAAACCTAACATTCCTCTTAAACTGCTCTTGTGAAAGAGGAGAAACCCAGTGAGGACCCATGCAGGTCCTCATGGACCTCTTCATGATCACAGGTCCACACAAGAAAGAAAAGGCTAGGCTAGGAAATTGTAACCTTGAATTGGGCTTCTCTGATGTCCGGGTCCATCTTGGCTTCCTGCAGCAGGTACCCTGCCACTCTTAATGAACTGTGCTCTGCGGCCACGTGAAGGGCGGACGTCTGCTCATACATGAAATTCAGGTTGACGTACTGCTCTTGGTGTAACCTTTGCACCTAAATTCCAGAGAAATATGATGATGACAGGATTTCAACGTAATTTTATATTTTTAAAAATTTTTAATTATCTGCAACTATGAACATATCAACTGTTAAAACTCTTCAAGTTGCATTTCAACATACATGAAGACTGACCATCAAATTTACAACTGTTTACATTATATATTTAATTCATATATGAAGCACAGATTCCACAAATGCATGTTAAAATATATTTATTTCTAAAACATGTTACAGAGCAGCAGTGAATTGGTCCGGAGAAATTCAATGCGAATGCATGATTGCAAAACCGAAGGTTCTAGAAACACGTAAATCTGACTTCAACTTGTAAACAGCTCATCAGAGATGTTAGGATCACCTCTTGCACATCATCTTGCTTTACAGCTGTCCACATGCATCTCATCTCATCGTCGTCGTAGATAGCAACAAATGAGGAGGAAGGTGTGGCTATCTCATCTTCATCCTCGACAAGACTGTCTGGGGTTGTGTTGGAGATGACAACCTCGGGGATGGGTGTGGTCAGGGTGCGATGGTAGGTGGAAGTGGCTGCACATGGAAGAGAGAGGTCAGTTATTTATATTTGGATGATACGCGAGAAAGCAGATGACTGACTAGGCTGGCGTAACTAACTCTGAAATTCTGTAAAAGCAGGTGATGTTTTCACCGAACTTTAGCATTTGTTTTAGGAAAAAAAACCCAATATTCACAGACCCAAGAAAGTGACATGTCTTTCTTGCTTAGTATTAAAGTTTCCAACAGAAGTTATGTGTTACCAACACTATTCAAACATTTACAATAAAGTGGTTCTCACTTCACAGTAAACCAACTCCTATTTCTTTGTATGTTGTACTTGAGCTTTGCATAATAGAGTACATCATTTGGACTTTGTTCCATCCGACACGGCATAATTAGTCCACATTCATGCATCAGCCATAAGGCGTGGTGTCCACTGCTGGCCGATTTCTCTACAGGCTGAGGCTGCCCGCCCACTTTCTGGCCAGTATGATCCTCAGGCTGCATTACTGCCCCTCTAGGCCGGTAGGGGCCTATGGTCTGTCGGCATTTCAAAGTCACAGAAACGAATAGCTTATCAGAGTCTGCTTCCCAGACCCTCCACTGATGAATAGAGGTTCTAAAGGGATTTGCACCAGCTGGGTAGGATTAAGCCAATGATAAAGAAACCCAATGGTTCATCAGCAATGAGTCCAACAAGTAGGCACCAACACAAAGGATCTCCAAGCGGAGGGCTCCTTTGGAAGAGGTTGGGCCTGTACCTCATCAGCTGGTAGAAGGGGGATTAAGAGCTACTGGCCGAAAAACGGCTTGCCTGTAAAGAAACCAGTTGGCAGTGGATGCTGTGCCTAATTAAATGGAAAGGGACGGCAACTTTTCATTTTGGGAACTTGAAATCATCAATGAAAAAATGACTTTGAATTACTTTGAAGAAAAATGAAGAAATTTCCTGTCAACTTTCCTGTCAATTCCTGATGACTACATTTATACATGTATTTGTAATAAAATACCCGGTACACCTGAGTTTTTTTAAGCCAGACATAAAACAAAAATTGAAAAGGAGGCTTGGAACCCACATGAATGCTAAAATAGTCTGATACCATCCAACTCAAATGTTAACAATTTATAAAACAGATTCAATGAACAAGATCAAATGGCTTCCTTGGGAGTTCAGGTCTGTTGGTCCATACCGGTATGGTGTATGTGAGTGTTGTTGGTGTCCGTCAGCCGGATCTCGAGCTCGTCTTTGTACGCCTGCAAGAACTGTGACTGGTGGTCCTCCAGGCGGTGGCGCTCTTCCTGGGTGAGGTGGAAGATGCGCCCCTCTACGTGGGGCGCGATGATGCACTGCGCCCTCTCGGCCATGTCCAGGCTGGCTTGGCGCATCAGACTGTGCCGTCTACAAAAAGTGGGACAAAGACAGCAGACAAACGGTTAAACCAGAGCAACTCTGTCATTATCATCCGAGGTCTCTCCAAACATTGATAATTTGGGTTTCTTTACCAAGTCTAGTGGGGAAAAAAATAAAGCAGTTTGAAAAAAAACAACAACTTCATTTTGACACATTTTAATACATGTCAAATCTGAAGCTGTGCAAATACTTTAACCAGATAAAAAGAAAAATAACCACTTATGAACTTCTTTTGACACCTACTTTTAAGTTAAATTTTGAATGTTTTATAAATACTTTGCTCATTATGAATGTTACAGACGTTGATAATGAACTGAAACTATATCATTCAATTAGTGTCACTTTGTTTGCCACTTTGACCAGTGCCAAAATATGTCAAATGTGATTCTGTTACCATGGAATCGCCTTACATTCAATGCAAGAGATGTGGCCACTTTTTTGTTTTCCAAATACTTGTCAGTAGAGGCTACTTTGAGCTACCTTATTTGCAAATGAGTGACTGGGCCTATTTTAGCCCTACAATATCCAGGGAGAGAGTGGCATTGACCCTGTTATACTGAGGTAGGGGGTTAAAGTCAATGTGAGGTCTTAACGTACACCCACTGTGATGTGTAAAATGTTCCATTGAAACTGGAGCATTCAGAACTATTGGGGCTAATTCACAAGAAAGTGACCTTTAAAGGTGAAGCCGGAGAAGAGATTAAGATTTGGGTCTCTCCAGAGACCCCCTCACCTATTGAGGCTGATGAGACTCTGTCTGTGCCCTGACCGACATGGCTTGAGGCCCTTAACGATGCGGACAGACAGGAAGTGATTCTGTACGATGGTGGAGAGGACAGGTCCTTCCTCCACCGAGGACAAGTGCTTACAGGTTCTGAGGACGTCATAGCCATCTTTGCCTTCTGCTACATAGTCCTTGGTACACAACCTGTACACCTGTACATTGGAAATGGACAAAGACTCTTTGAAGTGGTTTACATGTAATAATGGGAACGATTCAAAATAAACAGTGCAACCACCAGGTTATTGCTGGCGCCTGCCCTGTGCAAGCAACAGTTCTTGACAGCTATACCCGCTGAACCCACCAACTGACTACAGCCAGCTGACCCTAGACGTCATAATGTCTGCAGTGTTGCAGTCGAGATCCCTTAAGATTATCACAAGACCCCACAGGAACAAAACCAGGCCTCCTTTCTAAGTTCAAGTCACAAAGCTCTTCAAATCAACTGCAACAGAAGCACTCCTCTGTCACTGTGTACCCTTTAACTGGTGACTGTGCTTGTGTTGGGTCTTTTGATGGTCTTGAGTATACCAGTAAGATCGACGTCAGGATTTTGAAGTACATCAGTGCAATGGTCTTCTCTGAACATTTCATTCCCGTAATATATGTACCAAAGAAGACAGAAAAGTCTGACGGATTTAGTACCTGTGGCCTAGGGCTCTTGGACCTGATCCAAATCTGGTCTTACCTTACTCGGGGAAAGTGGTTGTCCCCCGACGCTGATGGAGTATGGATCTACCCTACACCCGGGTGGGGCGTCGGGGTCGAAGCCAAACTTCATGCCACCCACTTGGGGGAAGCGGCCGTCCTTCTTGGGGTGTTGGGAGACACCGTTCTCCAGAGCTTGCCACAACTGCATGCCTGCCGCCACCAAAAAAAACCCACCAAACAAACAAAACAGAATACAAAGGCAAGTTATGATGAAAGGTCAATTCTCAATTGTCACAGAAAGACTGATTATTAATAGCAACAACTGACGTCACGTGAAGACCATACTTGGAGGCAATAATGTAGTTGCATCCCCTTTCAAGTTGTATTTTCAAAAGGGCAAGGTCATTCAAGAACAGAGCACATAAGCAAGCAAGTCATTGTATCCTGGTGTATGGCTGTGCCGATAGGACAGACCATGTATGCATGCACTGCTGTCCCTGAATGGTCTTGGACATGCTTGATTTGGGGCGTGTGCTGTTGGAATAATGAACTGGCTCACTGTCCAATCTACTCCATCATGTACCTGTGAGTTGAAGCACAATCAACGAGTCCACTATTGGCAGAAGGCACATTAGGTCTTTCTTCTTGAAGTTCCCAGCTGGGTGGACCATATCTGATCGAAACGTCCCCGAATTCAGCAATGCTACATCAGCGCTAGAGGTGGCTAGCATGATGTCGGTCACAAAATTCCCTACGAGAGAAAATTTAGGCGGAAATTTCAAATAAGACAGGTGAAAGAACACCCAGATTGACATTCTTTATGATGTGAGTGAAATTAATGCCAATAATCTGGTGTTGTGGTCAAGATCGCTGAAGACCATCACAAGACTTCATAACACCAACACAACACCTCCAGTCTGAACGGAAGTCACAAGAGTGTTCCTTTTGTTATTATTCATCCTGTTACTTGTGACAGGCCCAAGCCTATTTTCCTTTATTTCAAATGTGGCTTAAACCATACAGATATAACTCTATCACAAATTTCAAATTATTTTAAACATTAACAGCCATTAATGCATAATGAAGTTTTATTTTGTTGCTGTTATTTTTCATCTTAGGTTCACCAAATGACAAGTTAACGTCACTTTTAATTCAAGATGGCCGACACATGAATACAGTCTATTACCTAGGTTTGTTTCCTGGGTTCGAATTGAAGCAAATCTGGCATCCAAGTCCACTTCAATGTTGCCTAGTGTTCCTTCCAACTCCTTGCCAAGAATCTCTGCATTAAAGGGGAAGAAAAAATGTTGACATCTGTGAAACAGAGATGTACACAAGTTGTTTTCAATGATTTAGGAATTCTTTTTGTTCTTCAAGAACACAGAACCACCTTAATTCAATTTTTTAAACACTTTTTGGAAAAGTATCATCCATCACAGGCCAAGCAGAAAAATGTTATTCAAGATACATACATGTACATGTACACTGAAGAATAAAAAAGTTGGCAGCAGATAAAAAAGCTATCTACGGACATTTCTTTCAAATTCTGACGGAGCAAATGGGGAAAGGGAGAACAAGACTTATTGACAGAGGATTGCTACTTGGAACACAAAGAAAATCAGTGAGAACAGCAAGACCACATGTAAAGCAGTATAAAGTACATATTCACTTGTCTCAGAATTTCAGATGCATTTTTTTCCAACTACAGAAGATGAATTCCAATTCCATTAATGTCTCAAATTGCATGTAACCTATTTCTTGTCTTTTTTTTTGGGGGGGGGGGAGATATTTTACAATGCCTTAACTAAAGAGACTCCAACCAAAGTTCAATATCTCTGATTTCCTCCGAACCAGGAGAAAGCTCATTTGTCAACCCGGCCAACATATCAACTCTCTGACCCCGAGGACTCACTCTGGTAAGTGCCGACTATCTCCTTCACCTCTTCGTCCTCAGGGATCTCTGACGTGATATCAATTCGCTCCACCTCAACGCTGGTTTGGTAAAAATCAGTGAAGGTCAGCTCTAGGCGAGACAGGGTCCTGAAGTCTGTGCCACTCTTCACAATGTATTTCCCATTAACCTGTAAAAAGAGTACATTAGCCTACACAACAACTGGTACAGTGTACATGTACATGTATGTCTACTTCTAAATGGAGTATGGGGCTCTTCCAGTTACAGTATAAGCTTCTCTGAAAGGTCTGCCCTTGTTGCTGCTAAACGTGCATGTGTTATAAAACTTTTTGAAACATGAGATCGACTTGTGCTTGTCACTCCTTAATGCTTGGAACTGTCCCCGAATATTTCTAACATGATTAGCTATTGACTGATTGATGGCTTGTAAATAAAGTCATAGGCTACTACTGGTGAAACCTGATTTCATTAGTTAGATGGTCAAGTGAGTAAAGTTTTGAATGAAGGCACTGTGACTGACACTGATAATTATAAGGTTTTTTTTGTTTTTTGGCCAGCTACTGTAGAAGATCCACTGGAAACTTATCCCTTTCCACAAAACTGTAAGATTTAAGAATGCGTATCAATGCCTTCATACATGCATCTGTGAATTAGAAATAAAACACTACTCAGCAAAGGGCAAATTTAGCAGGAAACTCATCAATTACCACCGTTAATTGGTGACGATGCAAATACTTGTGTAGTGATATTAGGTCCTTTTTACAATGTGAATGCAATAAGCAAGACATGTCCACTACAAACAAGTATCACCCAAGCTACATGTATCTCTTCAACACAAAATAGTTTAATGATCAACATAACTGACAGCCCAACAAAATTAAAGAACTCAACAGAGGATCCTTATCCCTACTTTTGTGCTAGAAGTTTCTATCTGAAAAAACTGGCCCCTTAGTCAGTTGTACAACTCAGCATTCATATCCCTCAAAGATGTTACACAAGATAATGCAACAAGGTACCTCCATCACTTCATAATCATGGTCGTGACCTCCCAGGATCAGATCAATGTCGTCTACATTCTCAGCCAGTCGGACATCGTTCGGCATCCTCATGTGAGTCAAGGCGATCACGTAGTCCATCCCCTGCAATATGGTCAGATACACAGGTAAATGCACATGTACTCACTAATGCATCTGTATCCGATATAATTAAGCGCTGCACAATGCATTAACTATTCACTAAAAAATCCACTTGCCGAACTCGTTAGGTAAGGTTTATGGGGCGTGGCAAGCCATTTGTCCATTAAAGAGCAGTGACAATGACCGCGAGCAGTGGTAATGACCATAGGCATGGCCAGAATATTGAACGGAGAGGGGGGGTAGAAAGGCACTTGGTCAAGGGGGCAAATTTGGGGGGGCACAGCACTCAGCAGGAAAATGATAAATGACTAACCGTCGCCATTGATTCCACAGTATTTTCAAGCAACGTGATGATTTAGTCCCCTTTCATCTGTTTTTTGAACTTCTTTCACTTCTCATTCCTTTTCTTCTTCCAGCTTTATTTTTAGTTTTTTTTTTTTTTCTACACTCAAGCGGGGAGGGGGGGCACAGGGAATTGCACCGTCAGAATATCACAATCCGCTTCACTGTCTATAAGAGGACCCATGCAATGTACCAGTACATGTAATTTCTTAGTGCAGTTCTTGTAAATTATCCATTTTGTCCTATAAAACCAAATCTTCAATGTCGTTTGTTCCATTTTAACCACATGCTGCCAGGTGGTTTGAAAATGCAGTGCACACATACGGGTGTTTTTCAAGTTTTTCATTTTTCAAAAATCTTCAAAAATTCATTATTTTTCAATTAATGGACATTTACACCGACATATATTACTATCTATGTACTCGAAAACGGGTATCCCGGCAGCAAGTGGTTAAGAGTATTTTGGTGCTTTTTTTTTTAATTTTTAAGCTTTAGCAAATTTGCATATTTACTAGCAGAAGTGTGTTGTCATCGAAGGCAGAAACCTCAGTGTAACAGCTCTTTCAAAACCAAATTTTGCCAGACTTTGGGAGGATTTGCTGTCACAAATGATGTTTTCTTTGATGATTTGTTGCCGTTTCAGTTCAAGACAGCAGGCCAGTGAGCAAAAAGCTCTCCCAGATGTTTTCAACGAGCATATTTTGGGTCAACAACTGGACCAGAAATCCCCCCAAAGAACATCAGACTAGGTGTTGAGGACAGAAGAAAAAATTCCCTGCTTCCTTTGTGTGTCTGTCCTCTCTGGCTACACCATGCAAGCTCAAACCTCTAATCCAGAGACCTACAAGCCATCTGCAGGCCGTGATCCATTCAGGGGTGATGTTCAGGGCATAAAAAGAAATCCACAAAGCCTCCAGCTGAGGGGTTGTGGCAGTAGCTTTTCACAGCTCAGAATGATTATGTTAACCTTATACATGTATATGTACATTTACATGGTGTTTTTACACACAGTGTAAAAAACAAGCAAACCTGATGATTAAATTTCTCAATGCCCTGCACGTTTTGGTCAAAAATCCTGAAATTTGGAAACATCCTGAGACGTCATACCCTGTCCTCTCCTTCCTAACCTGTTGTTTCAGCTCTTGGGCAAGTTTGGCACCTTGCTCCACAAAATCCAGGTAGGTCAGGTCTTCTCTGTCAATGGTCGCCAAGGTAACTAGCCACTCCTCTTCCACAAGACCGATCAGACCAATCTGAAAAACATTTTGTAGGAAAAATTCCGATTTTTTTTCAACTGACAGAGCAAAATCATGAAACTGTTAATCATCTTGTCCAGCTTGTTTGGTTTCTGCCTATATGTACATGTACTTATAGTAAACACAGCGTTCATGGCAATTTCTTCATGTGAATATCAGTCACTCTATCTCCTGTGACAAATATATCATAGGAATGATCTATGGGTACAATAAAGCCAGACTAATAATGGTATTTACATTGACTCCATGGTATTGACTGCGCAATTTGTCTTGACACAATGCGATGATAAATCTATCGGGGGGGGGGTATATGCCTCTCAGAAAAACCTGGACATTTTTGCCGTGTTACCTTCTTCCCCTGACAGGTGACAGTCCGTGTGACCAGGCCGTCTGCCAGCGGTTGACCGGTGAAGTTGTCAATGACATTGCTGATCATCCAGGGGAAGTTGGTATCCCGCACAATGTCCTCCAGCTCATCAACTCCAAAGTCTTCATGCAACGTTAAACACAATTATCCCTTTATGAGTTCTGTGTTATGCACGGTACACCGTCTGATATAATTTGCGAGTCCAAGAAGGCATCCAAACAAAAGAAACTCAATGTCACTGCACTCATATTAGCTACATCTTCAGTCATTCTTTGTAGTTTGATTTTCGTTTTTTCCAAAGACTGAAATAGATTTACATCATCAAAGAATCAGATCACAATTTTGTACAACTGACATTACCAAAGTCGTGGTTGCCATACACTGCCGTGTTCACCTTCAGTGCATTCAGGATGGGGACCATGTGCTGGCCTCGAGTCACATTGCTCACTGTGCAAAAAATGATGAACAAACAGTGGACACTTCAAAGAATGCTGTTCAACTGAGTTTCTTAATGAAACAAAGGATTCTTTAGAAGTGCAAATTTATTTGAATAAAAGTCCAGCAAAAAACCTCGGCACTTGAAGAAACCCTATGCTAGTAGAGAAGATGATATCAACCTTCAGAAATGGTAGAAAGCAAAAAAAACAAACTACAGTAGGGATTGAAATCCAATCTGCTTGTTAGCCTAGATGGGGTTTTAGAACACAAGATGCAGAAATACATGGGGGAAAGGCCAGGAATTGTCTTCGTTTCAGTCTCTGTGCCAATCAATACTGCTAACTATAAGTACTTCCTGGCTGCAGTGACCTGGAACAAGTTAGAAAAATTTACTACAGGGCCTAACATCAGTTCTAGCAGAATCTTCATCAAAGGCAAAGTAGAATATTTTCTTACAGATGGATGGGTTGAGTGCATCGCCACTGAAGAAGACAAGAGGGCTTTCGTCGAGGAAACCCTTGACAACCGTGGCAAAGCGGGCCGCCCCGCCCACCGGTTCCCACTCCCGGGGCTCCACGTTGTACACGTCGTTGAAGTGCAGGAGTGTCAGGGTGACGGTGTTGCGGCTGGTGTACATGGCCTTGATGTCAGCAGAGAGCTGGCGCTGGCGAGAGGACTTGCGGCTGAGGGTCGGCGAGGAGCCATCAAGACCTTTGAGAGAAAAAAAGAGTGAAGACAGTGTATACGGTTTCAAGATACTGGTAGTGCAACGCCAAGGAAACTTCTTGCTGGTTCATCAATACACATGTACAATAGCTGAAAGCATTTCCATGAAGAGCTACACGTGCATGTATGAGCATCTTTTGGTTTTGTAGGAGGGGGTCAATTGATCTGAATTACACTGTCTAACCATTATTTGTAAATATTCACTATTTGGTATCCAAGGCGACAGCCAGCTGGAACTCTTTGTGAGTCAGATGGCTGACCAGCATGGCTGGATTGTTCAATAGGCACAGACATGACTAAAGGCACTGTGCCTGGGGACTGCTAAAAATATGGAACCTTAAACAAATTGAAAATAAAGTAAAATAACTTAATTCCCTATCAAATAGCTCAGTGGTCAGTGCTTGTGTTGCGTACAGTTGTTGGCATCATGCCAATCCAGCTGGCCCCCACATTTTTCTTATACAGTGTACAGGCTGGTGTATGTACATGTACATGTACATGTAGGGTTACATGTATGTGGGTCAGTGGGAACCTGTTTGACAAGTAAGTTTTGTGATCATGAAAATCATGTACATTGTACATACATGTATGTGCATTTAGTGAGCACACTGCAGAGTAACCTGTAGGCTCATTTGTTCCAACCAGCAACAAGTTTCAAAACCTGGATTACAATAAAACCCATCCAGGCTAGGCCTCAAGTGACTGAGACTTCATTGTACGTGTACCGGTAGATTATAGTTCTCTTGGTCTCATAATCCAACTGAGATCACCCCCCACTGTCCTCTCCAAACACTTGAAGTTCCATGATCAACCCACTCAGCAACAGTTGACTTCTTTCTCCAGGTACTATAACTTTGAAAGGCAAGCCTCGATCATCTCTTCAGATATTCAACAAGCTTCACTTCAAAAATCTGCTGAAAACATGCAATTTAAAGTTCCACACCTGGTCTTTCACTTTTTCAAATTCCTTGAAAACACCTCCAAGCCTGCACAAGTACCAGTACATGTATGTAAATTGTCCATTTCGTTTTTCCATAACCTCAAGGGTGGGGGGGGGCAACAGGGGGTGCTTGTTCCCAGCCTCAAAAGAGAAAAAAGGGTAAAAAGATAAATAAAACAAAACATGAATGGTGATGAAAATCACTAATTTGCTCAAAACAAAAACACTTGAAATCCCCCCCCCACACACACACACACACCATTAATTGGTTTATCAATACATGTAGGTTTGGACTGTATTGCATTTTTTATACATACACGTACATGTATACTACGGACACATGTATATTATTCATGACAAGAATACCGGTACCATAATATTTATGGGGCCAGTACTAATTTTGTAAAGTCCTTTGGAGTGTGGTATTACACTGTACACATACTGTATGTCATCAAAAAGCAGCCGACATTCACTGAGAATGTACATGTAAATGACTACCGGTAAGCGTGAAGGTTGTTGTCAATCTTACCAATGCGGCAAAAGTATTATCATTTATCAATCCATTTATTTTCAAATGAAAATTATTTTTTATTCATGAGGAATAATAAAAAGTGAAGACTAATTTTGTGAACCCTGTTTTGAGGCAAGAATGATGCATGTACATGTAGTGGTATTGGTACACATGCAGTATTCCAATAGAAGAAACTATAAAATGGAAATTTGCCAAAGCAAGTTCTTGGGTAATGACAGCAACAAAACACACCCCCCTCAACACATTGTTTGGGACAGGAGACTTTCATTCATCAAAAACACAATTAGCTATATTAAAGCCATGAACACAATGGCAGTGGCGATTTATAAAACATTGACAGCTTTTGGTATGTTTGGCCGGTGGGTTGAAAAATGCAAAACAGTCCAAACCTACTGGTACATGATTTGATAAACCATTAATGGTGTGTGTGTGTGTGGGGGGGGATTTCAAGTGTTTCTGTTTTGAGCAAATTAGTGATTTTCATCGCCATTCATGTTTTGTTTTATTTATCTTTTTACCTTTTTTTTCTCTTTTGAGGCTGGGAACAAGGACTTCGTGTTGTCCCCCCCCCACACCCTTGGTGTTATGGAAAAACGAAATGGACAATTTATAAAAAAAACCAGCAACCAAAAAGTCATTTTGATTAAATATACCGGTACATTAGATGCAAAGATTTATAGGACTGTTAATTAAGAATAAAGTATTTGGAATCACACATACAAAATGACCCACCACCCTGTATTCTTTGGTCAATTTTTGACAAACCTTTCAAAAATGTCAAAGTTTGAAGCAGAAATCTAACTTACATTTCACCTTTAACTGAACTTGTTTGAAAATGTAGAACACTAAGTACATGTAGTTTTAGAAGCAGCAGAAAAGAAGTTTTATTTCAAACAATTTGGATCTAGGAAAAATCTGGAGTTACATGTACATGTACATGTAGGAAATCGGCAGTATTTTCCTAGAAAAAATAAATTCGAGGTACATGTATTGGTTCTTGACATGACAAAATAAAAATGCTATGGTTGGGAGATTGGAACCAGTCCAAAATTTTGTGTTAACGAACTACACGTACATGTACATGTATATTATAGCATCTGGCTTTGATCACAAGCGCTGTGAAGTGCTACATGTATACTGTTGTGTTGAATAATGATGGCAAACTCATCATGCTTGTTCCATAAAGTGCGGTCTTTGGATTTAGATTAACTGTGAAGACAGTAGAAAGTACGGAAAATCCAACAAGAAATACCGTAGCAGGACAGTGAGAAGTTTGGCAGGGCGGCAAAACTTAAACGAGGCAGCCCGTCCTGCTAAAACCTCTCATGGAGAACACTGATCAGTATGATAATTTTCAGCTCCTGATAAATTCTTAGGATGAATGGACCATCAACTTGATCAGGCAATTAAACTGATATTTAATAAATAGCGGTGTGGAGTGAGAAATGAAATGAGCCTTGGCAATCACTTTGTCAGCTTGTGCCGTTAAAATGAATGGCTGATTTGATTTGTGCTCAGCGGTGCATGGCCAGGAGTCATTATGGTTTCATCAACAAGCTGGCTTGCAAACGATGGCTAATTAAGTCTAATGATAGCATTCATGCATGATGTGATAATTCCACTCACCAATTGTTATTTTGTGCGCGTGTGTCTTGCACTCATGGTCATGATGGCACGGACCCATGGCCAAATGGAACAAATTCAACCTCATTCTCACAGCTTTGCTCTCTCACCCTACTGTCAGATCAATTGCATGCATGTACAAATGTACATGCTTTTTTGCATGTACATGATGGATCTGAAAACACAATTTTCCATCTGACTTTACATCGCCTTGATGAAAAAAAAAGTCTGTGTTTAAAATTGCTTCCAAATCAAAATAAAAACAACTGCTAATCAAATTCCATGTCTTTTCATGGACTTCCAGGACCAAAATGTAACAGTTTACCCAGAAATGCACAAGCTTTGAACTTCACAAAAAAATCAAGGAGGCCTAAGACCTTAATTGGTCTTACGTGTACATGTAAGCCCCATGTTAAGGTTGTCCCACACACATTCTTTCATCAGGTGAATTTGGTCCCCTTAATGAGGAGTAAAGACACAGAAAGGGACCCCCCAAAGCTACTTTTCATCAAATTTCAATTTTTCAGGTAAATTTAAGGACAAACAACTAAATTCCTGGTATCAAAGAACTTCACATAATTAAGGTACCGGTAACTTCCACTGAGAAACAATGTAATCTATCCATGGGGTAAATTGCGATCTTAACCGCAGACACAACGACCAAGAAAATTTAAATGGACATGTCAAGTGTTGCTTCTGTAAACTCTTGCTCTCTTAATCTGTTTAAACATTCTCAAAGCACACATCACATTACTTCCAATGCTTACAATCAGTAAGAAATTGCTTTGTTTCAAATTTGAATTTGCTAAAGTAGATGCAGTCTCCAGTAAATGCAGTTAATGCCTGCAAACCTGCGTACACTCACGCTGTTGTGTCCATTTTTTTCCACAGGTTTTTAAAGTATCACTGATGCAAACAAAGTTCAAAAAGTTGGAAAATATCAAACAACCAAAGAAAACAACAAAAAGATTCAGCTTCTTTTTCTGTCTAAAAGTAATTTGTGGACAGTACATGTATTTCAGAACTGAAACTATCAAATGACCACAATATAAGTATGGTACAAAAAAAATTCATTTTCCGGCCAGCATTTATCTGGATGTGCTGTGCATGGGTGATTCTATAAATTAGGGGTCCAACTTGGGGACATTTTGGTGTCCTGTTACACGTGAAGTCATTCAACTTTTCTTCATGTAAAATTGTAATCACATTATCAAACATCATGAACTGTATATTGTACAAGTCATAAACAATGTCATCCTGTTTGATCTACAGAATGTGAACAGTACTAATATTAGTTCCATCCAGAAAAGCTGAATGGTTTCACCTGTAACAGAACACCAAAATGTCCCCAAGTGGGACCTCTAATTTATATAATCACCCACATGTAGAGTGACTTGAACTCTACATACATGTAAATGCAATGACTGGTACAGTAACTGCACATGTGGGGTAATGCACTGGTTTTCCACCAACATGTACAGTACATGTACAGTAGTTTTAAAAAGTGTAACCAAAGCTTTACCGTTGCCGTAGAGCACATGGCCTCTCCACCTGACGACCTCCTCTTCTTGATCTTGGACGGCAGCAGACCCGAAGGAGCAAGTGGAACCCATTCCTGCCTGGCTTCCCCCCTCCCTGGCAGCATGTGCAGGGATCAGGGCAAGTGTGCACACAGTGCAGTCATAGCATCAGGTATGAATACATTGTACATACATGTGTGGGTGCCGCCTTTCACACACGTACCTTGACAGGCTCACGACACTCTCACTGTTGACACATTGTTGCACTAGTGCTTACCTGCAATATATCGTAGTAGTGAAGTAAATTGGTACAAAGTATGTATACATGTACTATGCATATAACTTCAACAGTTCAACATACTGGTAGCAGGAGGAACATACTGAGCAGGTGCTTGTAAAATAAAAAGATTGAAAGGAAGGAAATAAGGCATGGGATAATAGAATCAGCCCGCTACCGGTACATGTATATTCAATGCTACAGAAAAGGAAGGGAGAATTCTCTTTTGTTTTAAATGAGAAAAGTTGCACTATGGAGGCTTGTTTCAAGCAGATTCAAATGGAAAGTGACAAATCTTATGATTCGAAAAGTAAATTAATTTATTCATTTACAAATTTAACAGGAATAGAAATTTTCAACAGGGCAAGAAGTTGTGTTGGTCTCTTAAAGTTTGCTAAATTGTGACTGGTGATATTCTTTAACTGGTAGATGTCAGAAGCTAAAGTTGTATCATAGTGATCATATTATAACTGATTTTCGTACATGTACAAATGTACGCATGTACAATATATGGTTTAAATATGTTCATCAACAATCAGCTGGTCGATACAACTGAATATTCAGATATTAAATCAAATTGAAGGTCGAATATTCAATCAGTGAATTATTTGAACTGACTCAGCCCTACTAAGCTGACAGGTTCATGTACTGCTACACGTACAGTACTGTAGGCCTACGTACATGTACATGTAAAACACTGTACATGTAGGCATACATGTGTAGCTGTACACTGAACATGTATGGATATACATGTACCGGTACATGTTTGCAAATCAGTGTGAAAATCTATAGACCAGTAGTCAACAGCCAGCACTTCTGTGAATGTAGTTCTTTCAATTTAAGATGAGTATAGATGAAATCAGTTCAACTGGCACACGCACAGATCTGATACAGTGTGTCAGATGATTCCAGAGTGTGTAGTTTTCAGCAAACAGTATACAATTTGCCCCAAACTCAGCCGCTACCAGTACATGTACATGTAGGTATTCATTTACATTTTTGTATTTTAGGTGTACATGTACATGTGTACATTGTACATGTACATAACTTCTATTTAAAAAACTACACCTGTATCTGAGATGTTTCATACATATGTACATGTACATGCACCAATGCGTATAACAGTACATGTACATGTACCTGTAATACCGGTACATATATATGTATATATATGTACCGGTATTTACTTATAACCTACATGAAGGATACTGTACGTTTGTGAACATGGACTGATCACACGTACACTGTACTTGATTTGAAGTGCATTTGATTGAACTGTGGGGCATGTACATGTACTCCTAGTGGCAACTGTTGGATTGGGTTTCCAGACTCCAAACTCACCTGCAGCTGAACACCCATGTGTGGATGTTTTACAAATCACTATTGAACAAGTTGCCCTTGCAAGGCCTATCATAAATACAGACCTTTTTCCATTTTTTAGGCTATTCAGAAAGAACCTTCAGAAGAACATCATAAGACCACTGCATATCGGGTACAAGTACCGGTAAGTGCATGTGCACGGACTTGTACATGTACCCAGAGCAACAATTTTAATTAAAAGATAACGAGACTGACCTCTACGTGTAAATGTACGGTACATGCACTCTAAATCAAATTTACCCTTTCTTGGAAGAAGTGTGAAGCAACATGTATACTATACTTACATATATACAATGCAGAAAGAATCAAATGAGCTGACAAAATTAATTGCTCTCGTGTACGGCACACTGTACATGTACAGTGTGGACATTATGTTAGTACACGTAGTGTACATGTACATGCATGCATTTTGTACATATCCTACATGTTATTAAAGTAAACAAAGTTGGGTATACATGTACCGGTACATGGAAGAGGTGTTACATGTATAAATTTAGAAGTCCATAAATTTCCAGGGCACACTCTGTATATTTGGCTAGGCACACATACGCTTTTCTGAGTGTATCGCATACGAATGTGTATGACATTATGCACAGTCGTTGCCAGGGTGACCATGGTGACAGTTTTAGCCAATTTTTGGCTAAATTTGACGGATTAAAAATTCAAACAAAGAATTTGAAAGAGCATTTAGTTGAATGAAACTTTGAACAGATTTCTGGCAGAATTCTTTAAAATGAATGGTTCCAGTATACCTGGTAACAATGTAGCAGATTTGTTTTGAACAAGCTTTTTGTCAAACAAACTACTGAGTTTCTTTCAAACAAACGGGTTTAAAAACCCCAGCGCAGTGGGACAGACAGGCCAGTCTTTCTGCTAAGGGAATTCCCTGGGACCCTGTCCCCAACCTAGTGTGAGTTAAGCTTTGGTTGGTGAGTCACATACATGTACATGTACATGTATTTGGTGTAATTTGTGGTGATTTGACAGATTTCTGTTAAATCTGACAGGATGTTGAAGTGAACTGACCGGTAGCAGAACCCTGCATATTTTCATCTGGCATTGTCTGGTTACCCAGACTGCTGTCATACAGTACTCTACTGTGTTTAAACTACATGTACAGTAGGGTTCATATCAACATTGGCTTTAGGGCTATCAATTAAAGAAAGGGCCCATCAAGTTGGATGCTTGAAGCAACTTGTGTATAACCCTGTAAATTTACCTTTTCAGAAAACTTCTCATGTACATGTAGACCTGCTCTAGCTTTTTCAGCAGGGTTGTCTGATGTACATGTAAATCATCTTGATTTAACTCACCGATTTAAATCATGATTTAAATCAAATGATTTTATGGAAAAAAATCAGATTTAAATCAACATGTTTAATTTTTTGGGTAAAAAGGCAAAAATGTTTCCATTTTTTAATTTTTACTGACTGTAAATGTTTGCAGGGGTTTGCATAGTTTAAATAGCAAATCCACCCTCCGTAAGCCTTCCAGTTCCTTAGTGTTAACCCCTTCGCGCCCGGACGTGACTAGAAACGCCGTAAAAATTGAGATCCTCAGCCCGCTTTTCAGCTATTATTCTCGGTCCATGCTCGAGCGAACACGGTGAAAGAAGGCAGACCCTGGCTCTTGTATATACGGTAATTGGCCTTTGTGTGTAGCCCAGAAATGAAAGACCGAATTTGCATCATAATCACCAGCTTCACAATCGTCCCCACTTTGAAAAGAGGCAACGGGAATGTGGGAGCGTGAGTAGAGCCGCATGCCACCGAACAATGAGCCTTTTCACTGTGTAATTCAAAGCGTGCAGAGCACGCAGGGCCAAAAATCAAGAATTTGCGGTTTGGCAGGTGGCCTTCGTGGCCAGGGGTTAAAGAAAGGGGTTAAAGAAACTTGTATGAATACACAAGTGTTACACAGAATCTGGGTTGGCAAGATTTTATGCTCAATTCTGTCCACTTGTTTCAATTTAAATCAGCTTTTTGGATTCAGTAAGTGCATTTGATGCAAAGGATGTACAATCGTGATGTAATTTTACTTCATTGCCCACTTTAGAGTTTAATCATAGAGGAAGGACACAGAAGGAGTTAGAACTCTGGCACTTCAAAGTGCTCGATGATCATTGCCGCTCGGTCAGACACACAATACTAAACATTCCAAATATGCCTGACTACTTCCTGCAGCTTAGCCGGACAAGTGGGCCCAGTAATATCCTACATTTTGTGTGTTTCGTTTAATGCAGTGACCAGGGAAAAGAGAGCAAAAAACATTAGATCTACTTTTGCCATCGTGAATAAACTTTTTATTTTGATATGCTGTTCCATTATCCATGCAATGTTTGTAATTTTATTTTGTCCGTCCAAAACATCACTTTCCAAAGTCTTTGTACGAATTTGGCTAAGACTGGCCTACAACATGTTGACCACCACTGGACATGCTGGACAGTTAAGTTCATAACAAACAAAATGTGCTATTTCATCGCAAGGAGTGCTCAAAAGATTTCATGAAATACCTCTTTGTATAAATGCCATAATAATAATGACTCAAATAAAACACAATATCTTATAAACAACTTAGGGTTTCATTCCCAAAATATCTCCAGAACTTGAAGAAAGCATTCAGTAAAGGCAATGACTGTGCATGACTAAGGACACACAGCCTGATGCAAACTACATGTAAGTATTAAATTTGATGTTGTTTTTAGGTCATACTAACTTCCTATGCTGCGGCGCACAACATTTTAATTAAGGTTACAGATTGCCAGCGGAAACTTGCAGCAATGATCATACCTGTAGGTTACAAAGGGGGCTTATGGTTGTGACACAGGAATAGCAAGCATTCACTGGGCTCTGGCTAAGGACCTACCGGACATGCCAGACAGCGGTAATTGGCCAGATGTTATAGCCTGGTCAGTTCAAACTCCTTCTTTGTCCTTCCTCTATGGTTTAACATGGTAAAATATCAGTGTTCATCAACCTTTTACATCTCTGTTAGTCCTTAAAGTTGCCCTTAATAAAGTGATTTTAAATCAAGCCTAAGTCACTGCTCTGTGGAGCTAGATCACAAACAAAATGAGACTGCTTTTTGCACAGGTAAAATACCAGCATTTTGTAAAAGTACACATGAGAGTGCAAACTAAATGCATACATGCGTGTACCTAATGTTCATTGCATGTTTCTCATGGATTAGTCATTTTTTGCATGTAGAAGTACAGCCTGTTAACAAATTCTTGTGAACTCTACTTTTGTCAAAACTTAAGAGCTCGGTTTAAAACCTGGTATGCACTTTATCCTTGGTATACTCTACGTGTGCATGTACTTGTCTCTGAAGGAAGTGTCTTTTCTGCGGGTGTACTGGTACATATACATGTACATATTATTCTGCATGGCTAACACATGGTGGTTTGTGAATTCAATCTACATGTAATTACTTGATTTAAGTTTCTTAAATTATATCCAAATTTGTTTAATTTTGTAACAAAACAAATAAATAAAAGAAAACTATTACAGGTGCAGCTGATTTGCTTGCTTTTGAATAGACATTTGAGCCACCTTGTCTCAAATTGTGATAAAAACTTTTAAAAATCTGATTTAAATTTTAAAAATCAGATTTAAATTTTAAAAATCTGACACAAGGTACATGTAAGTTTCAGGATTATTCTAGACACCAAGCCTATTCTAATCTACATATTGAGAGCCAAAACAGTGAGGAATTAGTGTGATCTGCCAATTTTTAGCATGAAATTTGATCACTTATAAACATTCTTGTTGCCTTTTGCACTTGAAGCCTTTTAAAATGTACCTCAAATCTGACCACCCCACAAAACAGGTCTTTGTTGTAAATATGCCTAGTCAGTTTTCCCACCATTTTCTCATTAACATTTTTCACGCCATCCCATCAACTGATTCTGAAGTCCACAGTAATGATTCTGTCACCTTGCTTAGTAACCAGTCACAATGCTGGTAAGTACATGTATGGTGTATGGCTGTTAACAGTGAGATGTGGTGTCACAGACATGACTGATCAGGAAGCAACCACCACTTTAAGCACCAATGCCCATCAACAATGAGGAAATGCTGTCAACTGCTACACACCTGCTCTTTCTACCGGTACACATATATTTTTAATAAGCCAGCATCATGCATAAATTGCCTACAAGGCAATTACATGTACATGTACCGGTACATTGGTCCAAACACGATGGTGAAAGCATTCATACTGCACATGTAATGATGCCATCAACACGCTGTTGCTTTCTGAAACCTCTGATGTGGTCTGGGAGACTCTTTTCAAGACTCAAGAGTTCTTAGATTTTCTTCATCCCCTACCCCTTGGATTTCCTCGGGCAAGTTGGCACGAATCCACTGTTGTAACAAGCAAACCACTGTGACTTGAGTCAAAGTTTCTGACGAAGACTGGAGTCAAGTCAAGTGATTTTATTGGCCCAACTACATGTACAGCACAGAGGTTGGGTGTGCATGTGCCCAGTATCATATTGTTTACAATGTCATGTCATACATGTACGTGTACATGTAGGTGAAGTTCCATATTTTAGATAAACTGTGTCAAGTGCGAGATTAGTAAACCTGCATGGACAAGGTTGAGAAAGTTTCGATAGAAATTGGTCAACAATAGTTGGGAAAGTTGCTATACTGTAGTTGGGGCATAACAGCGCCACTGTTCTGGGGCTAGGCCTAACTGGTCACCAGGTAACAGGGTTCGTCGTTGCTCTCCCGAGTTGCAACAACAACGAGGCCACGGGCATAGCGGGCAACAAACTCCACTGTTTTGGAGGTACAACTTAGCATGACAAAATTTATTTTATTTATTTTATTACACTTTTCCACAGCTAATAATAAACCAAAAATTAAATACATGAAAAACATATATAAACCATTGACATGGCGCAACAACAAACAGATGACATGACAGCTATAAAGTATAAAATTAAATGAGAATATAAAAGCCAGTGCCAGTGACAAGAAGGAACAGGCATGCCAGGCGACCAACACCTCTCTAGCCATCCTACCGTACATGACGACCCCCACAAAGAAAGCAAATATGAGGTACATGTACATGTAGGTACGACAGGTAGAAAATAAACGGAAAGAAAATACGAAAAGTGGGAATTTATTAATATCTGCTGCCAGTACAGAGACAGTTGAACACCCAAGTACAGAGGCCTAGGCCTACATCATTACGATGATGTGGCCTACATGTACACACATACATGTATATTAACCGATTCGGAGCAAGAACTTAACTTTGTTTTGTAAAATTCCAGGATGCAACCATACCGGTAGGCTAGTAGTGACTAGTACCAGTAGTGGTACATGTACGATCCCGAGCACGAGTACTACTACGTCTTCGATCAAAATGTAGAACGTACCGTCGGTGTTTTGCCCCGGTGCGTTACTGCTTCTTCCCCGGTTCTGGTTCGTCGAAAGACACAAAACTGAACTGACACACGCGAAAGGCCTAGGGTTTCCACTTGTTAACTTGAAGTTCAAGCGCGGCGAAGGATTTCATGCACACATTAATAATCGAGAAGTACGACGTGCGCGATCGCGACGTACTGAATTGATCAGCGCCCTCGTTTGACTATTTTGGTATAGGTTTGAAACTTTTAAAACTTTTGGAACTTTGTCGATTCTCTAAATAAATAATGAAGATAGACGCATTGTTGTCACATGGACAGGCTTAAACATGTTATAGGCTCAGTAGGCACCATACTTAGGGCCTACAAAATGACGTATTAAAGAAATATATCTGTTTTCAAAAATATTCACATTGTCAATTTAAAAACTTGACAGATCTAATAAAAGTGACGAGTCCTGCATCATCATCCATAGACTTGTTGAATGCAGCGGAATAACAAGGCCTATTTGAAATAACGGAATAGTTGAAATGATACAGGCAAAGTATTTTAAAGAGAACCTTATTGCAAAATAATTAATTCTTAAACCTAAACTCAAAAATAAATTCAGAAAACAATAATGTTCCCTGCGGAAGCGCATTGTTGCCAACGCGAACAAATTATTATATCTCGTTTATTTCACTTGACGGCTTAGGTGTCTCGTTTAAACGAGATATCTACATTCATGTCGTTTTAATGAGATTTGAAGTTTTTTAAACGAGATAGCTGTGTCGTTTAAAAGAGATACTAAGTCGTTTAATTAAAAGAGATAATAAGTCATTTCAGCGATAGAAAATAATTTTGTCGTGTTGGCAGCAATACGCTTCTGTACGTTAGTTCCCCCCGTTTTTTACCGTCAAAAAATTCATTTCATTCAGGAGCACGCGAACCTGACAACACTGCCTTATAAACAAGGCAGGCAGTCTGCGTAAAATACATTTAGATTTGTCCCAATTAAGAGTCTCCACTGCAGTGTGTCAATTCGGGTTTTTTATTGTGACTTTTCGTACATGTGTTTTCTCTATCTCTCTTAAGAGTGCTTGTTACTAGATAAAAGAAAGGTTGCTGCGAAGCACTTGGAAGAGGAAAATCACAGTAAAAAAAAGGTGGTGAAGTGAGCATTTCTTCAGATTTTCTAATAATGTTGTTATTAGATGTTGCATAGACTCGGAAACTGACTGCTCAGTGTTACCGATAGACTGACTTTCGACCTGATACAGTTTGCAAGCTAACAAGTACGTCGCTGGCATTGAATTCAATTTCAGACTGCGCATACGACAGTAAAATATTTTCATGTAAATGGATAATGATTTTGATTAAAAAAATATGACAATTAAAGTGTGCATAATAATTGTCCAAATTAAAATCCTGCAAAGAAATGAGTCATAACAACATCTCACGAAACACACAACAGCAAAAGTAAGTGCATTTATTTCTTCGTTTTTAATTCATTACTACAAATCAGAGATTTGATTTGCAGCAGATTTTGCATAATTTGCCCTCGTTTTGTTGAATCAAATCAAATCACTAATCATAGATAAAAACATCATTTTGCCTTTGAGAAAGATTCTGCTAGGATTGAAACGTCATGCCCTCCATATATATAAAACAATTTAAAACGCAACATATTGGGGGGGGGGCAACTAATTGGACCGTCTGATACCCCTGCATGGCTGGATAGACCCCATGTCCAGAACCTTCAGGCTTCAATGATCTATTCTTTTAATTTACAAACACCCAAGGGAGGATCCACACCGAAAGCTTTTTTTGGGGGGGGGGCTTATTTTTGCAGGACAATAAAATTGGAGGATTATCGATGTTCCATTTAGGGCTTTGGCACACTGTCTGAAGGAAGTAAAATGAAAAGACTAAAAGATCGCCTTTACTGTTTTGTTCACCCCCCCCCCGCGTAACTGTATCTTGTGCACACAGCCGCAGCTTGAACAAGACAGATTCCTACATTATGTACATGTACATGTATATGTACATGTATATGTACATGATTTCCCTTGCGCACTGGGAGCTAGACGGACTGGCAGTTGCGACAGCACTAAGTTTTGCTACCAGACTACACATTGTTGTGCATTGTGTGAGTAAAGCAGGCCCCATATCCGGCTGCATTTGTTGTGTGCGGATCGGCAGGCTGGCAAACTTTGTCCTGTCGAAAGGTAGGCCCATCGTTAATTTGACCACGGAGGCACACTTGTACATACATGTACTAATTTGTGTTGTATCAAGAATCATGTCGTTCTTTACCTTCATTTTATACTTGTGAATTGTCAGTAGATCATTGAAACTTCAACAACTTTTGCATGAAACATTTGTGAAAATTAAAGTGATGGTACTAGACAAAGAGTACTGTACGCCTGCATTGTCACCGACTGTCATGACTGTAACATTATGTCTTGATCTACGTACAGTGTTAAAAGACAAGGCCTGCTTTAAGTTTAGGCAATGGACTGACAATGCCAGGAACAGTGGTCACTGGTCAGACAAGCCGAGTGTACATGTAAACTGGAGCCTTGGGCCCTGATCAATTAAAAATGCGAGGCCACGAATGAAGGGGGATTGTGTGAATTGTGGGACCCAGTTTCTTGCCAACGACGTGTCAGTGTTAATTTATGACACAAGGAGGAATGATATAACCTACACATGGTTGGTTATATCTGCAAAAAAAATAGATTTCTCACAATTTATAATTCTAAATTCACAAAAAACAGGGTGACTGTAATAGGGAAAACATTGCCTTTGGTCGTCACACTTTTGGGTACTGACCTGTTTTACAAGAATAATAACAATGGAGGGTCCCGAAGTACACAGTCCTCCTACAGAGGCTGTCATGGTAAAGTCTTTTTTATTTTAGACTATTGTACTTTAAATTTTGGCACGTGTCAAAGCCATTAATACTATTATTTTATGTTTTACCTGTTTTTGCTGGCATGACAACTGGACATCTTTTGTGATTCTTTTCATGGACTTGGAAAATTTACCATGAGAAATCATCATCTGGTTCCATCCATGCTTCATTGTCATTTTGAGTCCGTATTCACAAGATGAAAATCAGACCTACACAATTTCAGGCACTTTTTCCTTTAAAAAAATCTGTACAAATTCTACAACTTTTTGCCACAGAAGATAGAACATGATAATTAGTTGCAGCAAAATCCTTCAAAACCTCTGGAAGTGGAGCTACAAGGATGTTGGATGCTATTTGTTAATGGAGGATTTTTTTTTATTTCTCTCTGCAGTCTCTCTTGTTTCTGGTGGTAGGGTGCTCCTGATGTGACAATGCATTTCATGTTCCTCGTAACCACGTTAGTTATGACTGTTGCTGTTAATGAGTCTAGCGCTTTTAAAACTTCAGCAGGTAAGTTGGACTTACCATCTGTTTAAGTATTGATCTAGACATACACATGTACATACAAACATCTTCAGATTTTTAACACGGAAATAACATGTTATATGGTATACACGTATACATGTACATGTATCCCTATTCAACAATGTGCAGCTTGACCGTGTATCATAATTATAAAGATGAACAAAGAAATTGACTGGAGCGGGATTTGAACCTGCGGCTTCCGGAATACTGTACAAGTGCTCTACCAACTGTGCTACTCAGCCCTTTGTTGGTGGTTCTTCCCAGAGATATTGACAAATGGGAAGAGCCACCAACAAAGGGCTTGGTACATGTGTAGCTCAGTTGGTAGAGCACAGTAGATGTACATCACTCTTGGGAGCTGAAGGAGAGCTGTAACCAGTTGTGAAAGTAATTTCTCAAAACACTTGTAGGCTCATTGCACACAGTACATGTACACTGTACAGGTATATTTTGTTACACCCTGACTAATGTTGTTGCAGTTGGGACGGCCCGACTACGTGTACATATTCATGTACAGTATGTATAGTGAGCCAGCATCAATGTGTCATGCTGTGCCCGTGTATGACTGAACACATAGCACATGTGGTATTGCCTTTTCATAAACTGTACATGTACATCAATGATATATGCCACCAGTAGCTAAGTGCTGGGTTTGCAGTTTTCTAATGAACTCTCATTACCGGTAGGTGTACGCCCTATGCCGCGAAACTTGGAGGTTAAGAAATATTGTTTCGACATTTTCTGATCACAGTTGACCGAGCGCAGTGCAGTCAGGATCATCCCATCTGTATTTGAGACTGATGCTATAGGGAGGGCATAATATATTTCATTCCTAGCTTTTCTGGCATTCCCAACATACATGTAATTAGTGACCAGTATAAAGATTACATAAGGTGAAGAAAATGGTCAGCCCCAAACCTTTTTTCTTCAAAAAAATTCTCTGCCCTCTTTGTATACATGTACATGCACCCGAAATAGGTAGGATTCCTGTGATCTGTTCGCTTTCAGATAACACCTTGAGGTTGTTAGGCGGGGCCACACGTTGCAGCGGTCAGGTCCAAGTTTACCTAGGGGAATGGCTCAATGTTTACCGCACCCACTGGGGCGTGGCCGAGGGGCGCGTCGTCTGCCGCCAGCTGGGCTGTGGGGAGCTGGTCTCCCCCTATGCCAACTACAAGGACAAGGCCCAGGCAGACCCAGTGTGGAACGAGCTGGTCTCTTGCGCGGGAGACGAGGCGACGTTGATGAACTGCAGCCATAGCCGCAATGCCAGTGACATGCTCGGTCCGGAGATGTACAGGGCAGCTGTTGCTTGCCATCAGGATGACATCACAAGTGCTCCAGGTATGAAAATTCACAGCATAAAACCAGTAGGGCGTGGTGACAATAACAAATGTCCCCTTTGGCTCTGTCCTTCATGGTCTATGTCGGAAAATTATGGACTAGTTTAAAACTGTCCCATTACACTGTTGTTGTTAAAAATCAGTATTAAAAAAGTCCTTTTTATTGTCATAGTTACAATCTGTGCCAGGTGTTTTGTGGATTTTCTTCATCCCCCAATGTCGCCCCTGTCTAAATCTCACCCTCAATTGTGGTTTGCCAATACCAGAGTCCATGTCCCTGCGCCTTGTCCATGGGACAGCACCCCACTCTGGCCGGGTGGAGGTCTACTACAATGGCGAGTGGGGGACGATATGTGGCATGAGTGGCTGGTCCATGACAGACGGCCATGTCATCTGTCGTCAGCTGGGATACACGAGAGCCGTTGCGGTCAAGAGATATAGTGACCCGTTTGGACCCGGCAACGGGACCATCCTGATGTCATTTGTCGACTGTGACGGCCATGAGGAGAAACTGGGCAACTGCCGCCACCAAGGATGGTATCAGCACAACTGCGATCATTACAATGATGCTGGCGTCATTTGCAAAGCGTCATCAAGTACGTCGCTTCATTTGCCCCCAATTCATTCACCAAAACAGGATGCTTATAGCTTTTGAAAGGAGTTAAAATTGAAACAAATTGTGTAGGGAAAATGACTTGGTGCTTACAAATGATTATAAAGATGAACAAAGAAATTGACTGGAGTGGGATTTGAACCTGTGGCTTCCAGAACACCGTACCAGTGCTCTACCAACTGAGCTATCCATCCCATTGTTGGTGGCTCTTCCCATTTGTCATAATCTTTGTTTAGGGGGCATGTAGTCTCGAAATAGCATTTGCTGCCCAGAAGTTTCTATCCCTTGTCCTGAGAAGCTAGGTTTTGCCTCAGTAGAGTAGAATCCTTGAATTTGAAAGGATGCACATTGCTCAATATACATGTACAGTACATAGGGGGCCAGTATAAAATTCCAGAACTGTTTAACAGTGTCTGTGATGGTTTTACATATACATTTTGCCCTGTCTTGGGCATTCCTTAGCCTGTTATTCATGTGTTTCAGTGTGGACACTACAACGAGATTGATACCAGAGAGTGATTTCTGTCTTGAAATAAAAATCAGTGCCTAGTTTAACATCAAGATTTTGTCCTGTCCATTTTTTACTGTAACAACTTCCGGTAAACATACACAGTCCTCTACTATTTCATTCAACTACAGCCTGTTTGCCAACTCACAAGTTTTCTTACCCTCTCCCAGAAATTTATGACCATAGAGGAAACAGTGCCAACATGACTTTTGTGTCATATATGTTCTTCCATAAAACAAATATCTTGATGCCTTGTAGATGAAACCGGTATCCGCCTTGCTGATGGCACCACACAGTACGAGGGGCGAGTGGAGCTGTTCTACAATGGTGAATGGGGTACGATCTGTGACGATGGGTGGGGCATCGAGGATGCCCGGGTGGTCTGCCGCCAGCTGGGCTTCGGACCAGCCATCACGGTGGGGTCAGGCTACGGCCAGGGTCAGGGCGCCATACTGCAGTCGGACGTGGGCTGCCGCGGAATGGAAACATCCATCCTGGACTGTGACTTGCAGAAGTGGTACCCGTCCACACATTGCCACCACCGTGAGGATGCTGGGGTGCAATGCCATGAGCCAGAAAGTATGTACATGTACACATGTCATGGAGAAAAATTACTTTAGCCACTTGGGAACAGTATTATTTTGGCTGAAAACCTTGAGTTTCAAGAAAGGCAAAATAGAGTAGCTAAGTTTTGATTCACAACCAAATGCCAGGAGTCACTTGAACGTCTCTTGAATTTTTCCCTGCCCTGCCACTGGGATTTTTCAAACACTTCGGGGAAACACCCACAGACTAATACTCGTCACCACAACAGGCCGTGTAGAGTGGCCAAGTTCAGGTTCAACGTATGGTCCTCCTCAACCGACCTCTTGGACTTTGTTTGTGTGTGTGCAAAAGACAAGGGGGATTAACATGTTCAGACATCGTCCAGAGGTGAGTCGAGGTGCATAAGATGCTTTAATCCGTCAGCCATGCCTGGGCATACACTCAGCCTGATTGTGCTAAAGACACCTGCAGCTTGAACCGGTCAATTTCCCTGGACTCATTCAGCAGTGCCAGCCACCTGTTTATTCCTTCCTTTCACTGCACAGATCCAAGTGTGAGGGTGCGCTTGGCTAGCAGACTTTTGGAGTCAGAGGGTCGAGTGGAGGTGTACCACAATGGTGAGTGGGGGAGTGTTTGCGGTTATTCCTTTACCCTACGAGAGGCCGACGTCTTCTGCCGCCAGCTCGACTACAGAAAGGCACTTAAGGTGCGAGCATTTTTTACAGTTTTTTTCACAAGACCACAGCTGTGACTCATACTAATGATATGAACCAGATGTTACTTGGCAAATTGACAAGCAGTTGGCAAATTCCACAGATCGAATTCAGCATTTTTTCTACGTGTAGGTTATTGTCAGTTGACTTACCACTTAAGAAAGAAAAGTGAGGGACCTTCTGTTAACATGGATAATGCATCGTGGATTTGCACCAGAATTGTCAAGCAATTTTTGTAACCAGTTGGAAATGGTGCAGATGCTTTACGGTGCAGTTTGTTGGGTCTAATCATGAAAAGGGCCTCAGTCTTGTTTACTTCCATGGTACTGTACATAAGCAAACTTGCTGTTGAGTATTACATGTTGGAAAAAACCTGTCAAACTTTTCCGAGAGGAAAAATTCTTTAAACTCGTGTAAATGTCCACAAAAATACTGGTCCACCAGGTCTTGGAGCCAGGCTGGTATGGTGATGCGGACTTGATTATTCTGGACAACGTACAGTGCAACCGATCTGCCAAAACATTGGAAGATTGCCAAGGGTTGGTATGGTACCCAAAGCATTCGGACTGTTCGTTGCATGAAACAGCGGGCGTCATGTGCGACAGCAACATGATTCCTGACACAGGTACGCAAATGACTGATTTGTATTTAGACTTGTTTTTACTTTTGACTAATGTGCAAAGATGCATGCCTGTGGGTAACAGTCATTTATTTTGTTAATATTCTGTGACTTACATAATTTATTTTCTTTCTGTTTTGTAAGTCCATATCAAATTGCCATTATAACATGTATAAAGACTTTTCTTTTTTACATTTTTCATTTTGTTTCTGAATTGCTCATTTTTTGCCATTTCCAACCCCTTGACAATTATTTTACGTGTATTCCACGGTAAACGTGTTCCAGGTCAAAAATACCATTTTTTCGAACCCACAAGAAAATGCCGCTTCAGTCCTAATTCAAAGTTGGACTTTATATATGGTAAAATTTGATGGCTCTCGTGCTTGATTTACATGTAAGCAAAATTTCTCAGCGCGTATTTAGACTCTTAGACATTCAGGGGTGAGATTTATCAGGATTTACCAAGAGTTTGCAACGCGTTGGCCAATCACAATGCGCGAAATTTGTCGACCCAATGCGCGTTTGGAAAGGGTCGACAAATTTCGCGCATTGTGATTGGCCAATGGGTTGCAAACTCTTGGTGGCGCACTATTATGAAACGGCCGTATTCCCTGTTGCTGCTGTTAATTTCTAGAATTAATTCCAGTAATAATGATCTCACAGTGTCGTCAGTGGAGGTCCGGCTGACAGGAGGTAGCATGGAGAAAGAGGGCCAGGTGGAACTCTACCACAATGGCCAGTGGGGTACAGTCTGCGCCTCAGGCTTTGACTTGAAGGCGGCGCAGGTTGTGTGCCGCCAGCTGGGCTATTACAATGCCCTGTACCGGACATCCGGTGAGACATTCAGTGACGGTAGTCGACCACTGCTCCTGGACCGTGTTGATTGCCGGACGGGGCTGGAGAAGAACCTGGCACGCTGTGGCCCGCTGGAGTGGTACCGGCATGACTGGCAGAATTGCGGGCCTGAGGAAACGGCTGCCGTGGCCTGTCATGGATCCAAGATTGGAGGCGGTGAGTCCTGCCCGTATGTTACTGGAGTGCCGCCCTTGCTGTGCAAAGTGAAGCCTGTTGGATGCATCCATATTTAATGAACAAACCTATAGGAAAGTTTTGTTTGGCTATTTGCACATCGGTGTCTGCATTCAAGAACCTAAATGTATCATCAATAAATTAATATTTATTATAAACATCAGCATAAACAATGCACGTACATGTACATGTACCGGTGTGCTGCAGATTACATTAACTCAGGCTATTTAATGTGACATACTAGTCTACCAAAAATGTGCCCATTTGTTATTCGCCTATGTTGAACTTATACGTTGCATTGATAGTACATCACTTGAATTTTGCTTTGTCTCAGTAGCCCCAATAGTCCCAAATCCTCCAATTTCAGTATGATTTACATACATGTACACCCTTAGGGGGTTAGGGTTAATGTCATTATTCTCCAAAACTACAAGTACATTGTAGGCACAGTTATTCAAAATGAGTACACTCAGGATGGCATCAAATTGTCTCTGCATGGCGAATGAGGAGTTAGCGCTTTAGTCATTTCAATTAGCTTTGTGATTTTTGCCAGGAGACTCCCTCATGAGAAAAAAAAGAATCAGGCAAAGCTGCAGCTAACCAAAACTCTCCAATATTTTCATGAGGCAGATGTGAAATCCTTGTACGATGCACATGTGCGATATCATCAACCAACACGAGGCTGCAATTTTCAGTTTTATAAGGCGGCTCATCTTCTGCATCCCGCCTCAAAGAGCAAAATTTAGTGTGTTTACATAATGCATCACCATCATTTTAATGAGAGGCCATCCATCATGTGTCATTGACTTATTCAGTACGTTCGACAGAGCGACTGATTATATAGCCCACCACAGTGGAAGCTGTTAACACATGCAAAGAATGCTATACCACACACTTGCATCGTGAAAGCACAGTATTGAGTAGCGGCTTCTCACACCAAGAAACTTTCAGTCTAGCTTAGAACCTGAACATTTGGTATCATGCTTTTGCAACAAGCCAAGAAAGTACTGGTAGAACAGTCACTCATGCACAACAAGGATTTAATAATAGGCATCTATGAGACGAATGATGAATTTTTCACAATTTGTGTAATGGAAAGAGTAGTTTTATCAAGTGACAGATTAAATGTTGCATCCCACCTGGTCTTCCCTCTTGGAATAGGACATTCAATCTGTCATCTCATGAAATTATTCTTACCTTGGCTCTCACAAACATGCATTATTGGTGTAATGATTGAATCTTAGTTGTCTTGTGGCCCAATTGTGCATAGGATGTAGAATACATATCCAATTTGTCAATTTGTCTATGGGCAAATGCCATTCAAATACAGCTCCAATGAAGCAGTGTACTTTTTCATACTTTAGTCTACACTTCTAAACATGTTAACCTACGCAAACGCTCCATGTATCAATTAAACATGGTTTTTTAAGTTTGAGTCCTACCTTGGATTGTTAGTATTTGTTGATTCGTTCGTTGGTTCATTTTATTTTGTTTTATAAGCAAGTCTTTGACCATTAACCAGTTTCGGTTTCCCCATCAGACATAGAAATTGTCGTGCGCCTCAGCAACGGCACCCAAGCGTCCAACGGAAGGGTTGAGGTCTATCACCGTGGCAGTTGGGGGTCTGTGTGTGGTGCGGGTCTGGGCAGGAGCGAAGCGCAGGTCGTATGTCGGCAGCTAGGCTACGAGGGCGGGGAACCAGTGGAACAATTTGGCTTCTATGGGAGCGGCAAAGAGCCGGTCAGCATGTGGGGCTTGGAGTGTACCGGCGAGGAGGAACTGGTGGAACAGTGCAGGAGCATCCAGTGGTACAATGCCCAGAAGCACGTCTGCGACAGGGAGCTGACAGCTGGAGTCACATGCCTCCTAAGAGGTGGGAGAAACATCTTGACTTCCTTCAGTGATAGATCTTGCTACTCTGTAGAGTGCACCCACATTTTGGCATGAATATTCATTAGCTGATACTTATATTTCATTGGCCAGCATTGTTAGGTTTTTGATTGAAATTGTAGTGATCATGATATAATAAGATATCAAATAAAATCACTGGAAAAATTGAATTTTTGGCTTTTACTTTTTCCCCCCAAATAGGTGTTCATGAATGGAAATAAAAGTGTGATGGGTTAGTTTCGGTTTAAACTGCTTCATCACACTTTTATTCCCATGTTTTACCCTCTTCCTGCCGGATGCCTTTAAAAATGCTGTGCCTACATACGGTCGATTTTTCAATATCTTAGGTTTTCAAAAATCTTTAAAAATTCTTATCTTTTTTTCCTGAATGCCCAAACCCCATAGAGTGACTGTCTGGTGGCTACTCTAATATGAAAGCCAACATGTATTGATGCCCGAGTATTTCAGCCAGGCCTGCCACCTTGTAAAAAGAGCCCAGATTGTGTGATGTTACATAAGTTTTTTTTTGTTACCGAAGTTGGACACAGTAAACCGTTGCCATCTTTTCAAAAGGGGCCAGATTAGCGTGCAGCGATATTGTATCGCTCATCGCTGGAGTGCTGGAGTGCTTTTGTCCCGGTGGTAATCTGCTCACACTGAATGCCACAAACAGTCGTATAATCTTTCAAAACAATGGCGGATTTCCTCTACTCTTGACAACTGAAAAAATGTTGGCCATTCTCAGCAGCATGGTCTTTTGTTCCGAGTACGGTCTTTTGTTACAAGGCCCAGTCAATAGATTTTGTCTGTTGGGCCAGAGTGGACACCAGACAGTCCTTCACGTGTTTGTAATTGTCCAGTAAATGAAGATAGGAATTTTTTAAGAATTTTGAAAACAGAAAAAAATGATAAATATCCCAGCCCAGCATTATCAACATTGATAACTGCCCTGGCAGGAAGTGGTTAAACCACTTGGCTACATTTCCCTGTAACTGGAATTCTCGCAGTTGAATGTTTTCTGTTTGAATGTTCTGAAAATAGTTCAAGGAAAAATGAACAGAATTCCTCTCCTTGTACGTTTAACATTGTGTAAAAATCTCCCCTGCAGGAACATTTTTTATGTATTAAGAAGACATTTTTATTGATAATAAGAACTGAATTCAAAGTTTCCAGGAACAAAACTTTGTACTTGTATCAGTTTTTACGAGTAACACATGAAAGGCTTTTCCAATCTTCTTCCTTTTTTGAATAAACGAACATCACAATTTTGACAAAAATCCCATCTGCGAATGTACATGTATGCCCCACATACACAAGATAGAAGCATTTACAGATTCATGTAGTGGGTCACGTATTTTTGTCTCTTGAAGTAGCCTACAGCCTGAAGCACACTGAAATACAGGTACATGTATGCATCTTGCATTGTAAGCAGTCCCCAGTGTTGTAGTTTGTCCATCACCAGTCTCTCCACAAGTCCAGTCAGAAGTAACAGTGAAAAGTCATAAAGGAATCCTTTCTGTCACAATGCATTTGAATAGCTTGGGACTTGGTTCAAGACTTGTGATAGGTTCACTGGGACCTATGATGGATGTGACTACAATGT